CTTTGGAGTTTTCAGTGGAAAAACTTAACCAGTTAGATTTAATGACAAACCAAGTAAAAACCGATGGGGAAAACAGCAACAAAACTGATCTATGAATGTTAAAAAGTCATTCACAACATCCTAGAATGGCATTTTCAAGCCAAGATGCTTAAACATGAGCAGTTATCTGGTTTGATGTTAATTAGTTTAGATCCATCCTCTGACTGTTTTATGTCTTAAGGTTGTTAGTTGTTTCATGACTATGGAGGAAGATGTGGTAAACTGTGTCTGGTGAAAATACAAAAAAACGTGGACACAAAATTGGCTACAAATCCATCTCAGCCCTTCATCACGTGGCAGGTAACCTCCAGTAGATCTTTTGTTCATCCATGTATTTGCTTATCTTAAGATAACCTCAGATGACCTATGGCGTCAGGCCTTTTAAAAGCCTGATGAACATCACACACTTGACCAGCCATCATGGTGTTGCATTTAAGCTTTTTTACAGTTATTTATTTATTTACAGTTTAAAGCCGCCAGAGCAGGCGCTCCTCACTCAGCCAGCTCGGTGGGATGGTACTGACCTGATCCCACAGGCATCGGAGGGGAAAGATTTAAAATAATAAAGTAATATTTCTTACAGCATATATCTGCTGAGGGTCCCGTGACACAAAGTGTGTGTGTGTCTGTGCTCGTGCCACTCTACATATGGCCCGCGCTGACATTAGAATGACTTGTAGCTTTGTTGCGTTTGCGGTGCATGAAAGTATTCTGATCCCACCGATATCAAACATGTATGATGTCACTCTGACTCATGCGAGTTTGGGCTTGCCGCCACACGCTCAGATGTCCAGACACGCACACACGCAGTACGGTAACAATCGGGTGTTTTAAAACGCAGTAGAATATGAAATCTTGTTAAACTTATTCATGCAGATTGTGTTTGCTGCTGAATCAACGGGGCATCTTTGTCCCTCGTGTGGCTGGATCAGGCAGATATTTGTGCGCAGTCCCAGGAATTTCCCTTCAAACTCGAAGCCTTTAACAGGATGAATGTTTATCTGTTTAGTTAAACCGGAAACATCAAACATGTGATCACATGGTTCCACTGACATGTTGGCAGTCTGTCTTCCTGTTTCAATGTCAAGTCACTTGATTATAATGATGATTTACACTCACTGAGGCCCTCCTGTTGACTTTGAGCCAACAGTGATTTGGAGAAAGCCTCCAGATTTATTACAAACTGTCAGCGCTGGGTTTTTCATAGTGTGTGCATCTGTAGATTCAGCACTGTTAACTTTTCAGTGGGATCAAAGTAAGCCCCCATCCCCTCATTAATATGCATTCAAGCACACAGAGACTTTCCATTGTGTTTTCTTTATGCTACAAAAAAGGAGATTGTTTTTGGATGTCCTACTGCAGTGTTCTACTTTTGTTCTCTATTGATCTATTAAAGAAGTTCAGATCACTTCTCCCTTTAAATATTCAACTTACGTCGAACTAATTGGAAGCATTCGGAGGGGAAAAACAAACACATGTTTTATAAACTTCTGTTTATAAAGCATATGTTCACAAGGCTGTAAATTATTAATTTATATCTCATATTCTGGGACTGAGATTAGTTAAAAGAGTGAAATAAGGGGGTTTGTTTCAGTGTTCCTTATATATTTGTCTGGAAGCTGTTGTTTATTCATTCTAAATGAATTAAACAACCTCAAGACAAGCCTTTATTGTGTCTGTCTACCTGCTTTATCATTTATTTCAATAATGTAAAAATTAAAAGATAAAATTTATACTTTCTGCGGGAAGTCTGCAGGAAAATAGATTTCAGCTCTCAAACATTGCAGACACCCTACTCCTAAACAGTTAATGGCTTCATATTCCTGCTGGCAGCCTGGCTCAGTCATATGGCAAATTATGCAGGAGAGTGCATGGTTCAGCGGGTTAGGAGCATCATATGTCGTATGGTGAATGATCAGCTGTGAGAGGAACCGAGGTGTGCCTGTAGATGTGAGAACACACACCCCATGGCACATTAAGTCCAGTTGGGTCTGTTGCTGTGGGGTTTGAGGATGAACTTGCGGCATGTGTCTTAGCCAGCAGTCTGAGTTTTTAACTTTGCTTTCAGGGCACAACTTGAGAGTTATAACAGTGCTGTGATTATGTATGTTTTACCCGTGAGAATATCAGCAAGGGAAGTGAACTTGTTTCTTGGTTATATGCTGCATAGACCGTGTGAAAGAATGAAGCTTACAGTATTACAGTAGGTCTCTTTACAGCAAAAAGCAAACTTAGATGAGTCAGAGATATTTCTGGTTATCCCCAAAGGCCTCTTTCTGTCTTCTTCTCTTGTTGTCTCTCCACGTTTTCTAGTGCCGTTAACGGCTCAGCATGCGGAAAAATGTAGTATCTGTTTAATTGATGGAAATAATTGACTATTATATTCAACATTAGCATAATTTCATTATAGCTTAGAAAGTGTGCAGATAGTGTATTTTGCATCCATTGGTCATTTACTGCCTTGCCTGCAGGGTAATCCATTGTCTATGATATCATTTGAAACAGACTTTCTAAAAAGGGCATCGTGATATTTTGGATGCAGTTAAATGACAATTACAATTACATAAATTATTTTCTCCTCATATGCCTGTTAAACTGTGATAGATACAGTGACTGCAGCACCAGTTTACTGTCTTTTTTGTTCAGAGATGCCTCAAAAATGATTTGCTCGTCTCTGTGTCACTTTCTTTCCATCCTTGGATGAGTTGTTCCGCTCTCTCTATTCCCTGCAGCCTGAGCATGCTCCATCACAGATTCAGCAGCCTTGAGCTTAACTCAACCTTTTACGTCGTAACAAAGGGGCCCATGTCTCTTTTTCTGGGCTAAGTGCTTCTCACAATCAGTGGTTAACTGTTGGGAAAACTGCTCTGCTCCTGCATTTATCGCGTCCGCAGAGATCATACTGCAGCAAAGCTCCCCCAGGCAGAATAGTTTATGATCTATATGCTAATGCTTTGTATGCTTTCGCCAACATGATGTGTTGAAGTCCTCTCTCTGATGCATTTAGCCTATTTTTGTACTGATGGAAACATATGCAGAACATCAGCCTGTGCACAGAATTCACACTGACCCACCTCATGAATTAACGATGACAGCGTCTTTCTCTCTAATCTCCAGGGACGTCCCAGGACAGTCCTAATAAGCTGAGTCACCTATGGTGTATCCACCCACAGTTCCTTACACATCTAGTGGGACTAAAAAGCACACTCCGGTTTTTGCCTGGCTATGTGTGCCTCTGCTGTCTGCTTCACTCTCAGCTGACCTCAACCTGATGGCTTAATGTTACTTTGTTCCCTCTGTCTTTGAAATAACCGGAGGAAAGAGCACAGCTGAGTTACATCATGTTTCTAATCTCCCCCATACCCTCTAAAAAGCACTGATTATCCAAGCCATATTATCCAGTGTGCGCTTGTCCGTGTTTGTTGGTTTTTTCAACCTCTGCCCCCCTTTGATACAGTCATGCCTTGAGAGCTCTCCAAATCTCTTGTTTTTCAATCTCGAGAATTGGTTTCCACCATTTATTTTAGTTTTTCACCATCTACCTGCCTTATCTTCCTCCACACTGGAGCTCAATAGTCACAACTGTAATGACTGTTTTGCTTACATATTCAGAGAAGAATAATAGTATTTTTGCATCTCAGTGGACACCTTTTTAGATCATGAATACAGAAAATGGTTCTTTTTTTTGTGGAAATTCAAAGGGTTGTTTCAGTTATCAGCTGCCTGGATCACAGAGAACAGAAAAGAAGACTTGAAGAAAAAGAACACCCTGTGATTCGAGCTTTTAAAACCTAAAATCCAAAAAAGCACTCATGTACTTACCTTTTTATCTCAGCAGAATCTCCAAAGCTTCTTGTGCACCTTGTTTCATGTTGTCGTGGTTATCAGTATGCTGTGAGTAAGTGCAAAGAAGAAGTTGGAAAAATTGAAAACTGGATCAGCTTTAAGTCAGGGGTCATTATGCAGAGAGACTTAGTTTGATCTTTTTTTTCTAGGTTTTTAAGTGTGACGAAAAGATAAAGATAGATTGTGTAGCGATGTATTTAGATGTGAACTAGCCTATAGAAGCACTGATAAACTGCTTCATTAAAAAAACACACGTCTGCATAACTGCCGTGGAACAAAGTTTTGATTAAATTTGTCATTGGAAACTGTATTAATTCGCTATACCCACTACAGCCTATTATGGCTGATTCCTTCCCTCCTGTGACAACAAGGGATATTTTGCCATTTCAGGACTAACAGATGAGAGACAGATGGACATTCTTTGACACACAAACCATCATTGCTACTTCATCTAATGTGTGTGTATTTGGACTGAGGAGGAAATACTCTGATGAGGATAACATGCTCTGCACAGAAAGTTTCATTTTCTGGGATTTTTCTGCTATTGTTCTGCTACGCTGCTCCCTAAACGATCATATCAGTCACTTAAAAGGGCATCCTTCTTTATGTAATGTGTATATGTAGTTGTATCAATCTGTACCAAACATCACATTATTCCTCAATACAGCAAACAGGCAGTGCTTTATGTTATTTCTGCGATATAAATAACCCTCTAAATTTAGCACCGTTGTTTTGTGCATGTGTACCAGCACACAGTACATGTAGACGGTTCATGTTATCAGCCTAGCTCAGTATGACATTATGAGCTTTAATCGTGTGTTTTAAAGGGACCTTGAAGTAAATCAATAAAATACACGTATTGGTTGGCGGTAAAAACAAGGACAAAAAAAACATTAACCATTAAAGTAGGTTCTGAACTTGTGATCTCAATAAATTGCATGGTCTTTTATCCATTTGTTTTTCTTTCTTGTGTCTGGTTGAGCTGGATTAGATCAATTTTCTGGATCACATGAGTGTGTCTCTAATGCTCTTTATGACAAAACACTACATTGTATTAGCGAAGTGTCCACATTTTTTACACTTATCTATCTTTGTTCTTTTTTGTACGTCTTCAGGAAACAGTTGAATATGCCTTCCTCATCATTTTCACAATTGAGACCTTTCTGAAGATTATCGCTTATGGTTTGGTGATGCACCAGAACGCGTATGTGAGAAACGGCTGGAACATGCTGGATTTTGTCATCGTGGTAATAGGGTAAGTTCTCAAGTTCACCCATCATTGTGCAGCTGCTGTAGAGGGCATACAACTAACTGATTTAAGAAATTGGTGTCTTTTTGTACGGCAGGTCACAAGGTTTCATTATCTCTGGCCTTATGTGAGGATTTGTGCCTTGATCGCAATTTGACAGTTGACAGTATTTGTAAGAGACGTTAAAGTTGCCTGAGTCTTTGCACCATGTGGCACTAATAGAGACCCTCCTACACCCACAGTATATGACCCAGAAAAGACAGAGAGAATAAATCAGAGCTTTACCACTGCTGGAGTGAGTCACCATCTCTCCATACTTCATCTCTTCTCCATTTCTCTCTCCCATCTTTCCCTCTCCTCTTACTGACTGTCTCTCACTCTTTGCCATCCGGCTCTGCTTTATCTCTGCAGCTCGTCCTTATTACAACTCTCTTCCATTTTCACATTTCAGACGGTTCGTGCTGTGCATATCCCCACCTCACTCTGCCCTCATTCCTGTCTCCTGCAAACTCTCGTCTTATTATCTTCATCCGCATAGCAGCTTTTCTGTTTTCCTCCTCCTCCTCCTTCCTTCCTTCCTCCCTCTCTCTCCCTCCCTACCCTAATACACACAGTCCAGTGGGTAGCTAGGTCAGATCTCTGTCTGTGTGCCGCATGCAGGGTTGATCTGCCATCCAGTCAGATGCAAAGAAGGCTGCCCATGCCACGAAGAGTGGCTGTTGCTGCTAAATCACTGAAACGGCACACTGAGATAATCCCTCTAGTATCTGATGTCGGAGGTGCACTCCACTTTTCCACAAGCTTCAATGCATCCCTGTGACTTCTATTTACAGATTGCTGTTGTTCATTTAATGGTTCAACAGCTCCTTAAATTCCGCTGCTAATAAGGCCACCTAAAACAACATGTGTCACGAAACGGGACATTTTCTTGTAGTGCAGCAGAAGGGAAAAAATCATGGAAAGTAAGAAGCTGCTGGTCAAATCTTTTAAGAAAGTCAATGACGAAAAAAACAAAAAAGGCTACCTGTGTAGAAGAAGTAACTAACTTTTTTAAGTCCAAGCCAGGAGAGTTAATATTCAAGATGACCGAAACACAGTTTAACCAAAAAGAAAGAACATTTCAAACCCTTCATAGAGTCAGGAACAGCTGCAACACATTTACAAGCAAGACATGTTGGCCTAACAGCTGATGTTAGCATCATAGAATGAGATTTATTTGAATATTCTTATAATATTTATGGTTAAAACTGTATCAGAAATGTGTTGGAACATACATCTTTACTGGGGGACAGTGTTGCAGCATGGCTCTCTGAACAACAAACAAACTCCTGTATGGCAGCTGGCTCTTCTGAGCTTTGCTCACAAAAATAGTTGTCGATATGTGATGGAGGGTTTTCTTTTGAGCGTGACTGGCTGACTAATAGACCCCCCAGTGGCTGGCAGTCCGTCTTACAGCAGTGACTCAGTTGAACATAAGTTGGAGCAGACTGTGCTTTATGGCCATCAGAACTCCTTCCAGCCCATATCGGTAGTTTCATTCACCGCTTTTAGTCCACAGCTTTGATGTGATGAGTCGAGATGATTTTCCCTTCTGGCTAGGTGAGGAATGCCTGACTGTCTGTAATAAGGTGTCTTCTTTCATAGCTAGAAATTCATTCAGTGTCGATTCCACTTTGTGACCACAGCAGGAGGCGGTTCCTGTGATGAAAGTCTCTCTGTATATATATTCTCCTTTTATATGCAGTTAATGTGGGCATCTATCTATCTATCGATCTATCTATCTATCAGCTGTGTGTCTGTCTGTCTAACACTGTATTCTTCTAATAGACTCTTCAGTGTTGTCTTGGAGCTTTTGACCAAAGATGAGAAGGCAGAAGGCATCGAAGAGGAAGCCGAACAACAAGCCTTGCATGGGCACGGGGGTAAGCCAGGTGGATTCGATGTTAAAGCCCTTCGAGCCTTCCGTGTGTTGCGACCTCTGAGGCTGGTCTCAGGAGTACCCAGTAAGTGGTTACAGCTTTTAAATTACTAACAGCAAACGGCCATATTACGATTCATACACAGAGCAGAAGGTTTTACCTCTCATTAACCAAGGTTTTGCTAAGTCCACATTTACCGGACAATAAGAAGGGGAGAAAAACAAACCTTATTCTACCCTGGAATAAAACTGAGCTCACACAATCTGTGATTATGTTCATAATGCAAACAACTAAGTGTAGTTTTATATGTATGGTTACATTTTTCTCCACCTCACCTAACTATTTACCTTCTGGTGCAACATGTTGTATGTTTTAGAATATTCACATGGGAAAGAGGCCAGAGAAGCTCATTATTTATGATATTTCCTTGTCCATTCAGTGACTCAACCTACAGCTTCACCTCTGTAATGTGTTTATTTTTCTCTTTCTTTAGGTTTACAGGTGGTGCTGAACTCCATCATTAAAGCCATGGTCCCTCTCCTGCACATTGCCCTTCTGGTCTTGTTTGTCATCATCATCTATGCTATTATCGGCCTCGAACTTTTCATCGGAAAAATGCATGCATCCTGCTTTATACCTGGTTCAGGTAGGTGCTCTTTTCTGTCGTTTACAGTTAAAATAATTTCAACTTGTTAATCAAAATGTTTTTGGGTCAACATAGTTTGACATTGAAATTATGATTAACAAAGTTTTAGCGTGTAAATAAGTGTCCACTGATGTGACAAGATCACGTCTTCACTTTGTTTTGGAGTGTTTTGCAGGCCTGAGATGCAGAAATAACTTTAAATAAATATCAAATAACAATCAAATCTCAAATAAATGGAATAGTTACTGCATTGTAAATTGCTATTTTTTATATTGTCCCAACTTTGTCTGATCTGAGGTAGCATTAAATGGGGCAAAACATTCAATTACTGAAGTTTTTTTTTTTAAATCCCTCTGTTGCCTCTATCTTTATTTGTTGGCTTCTGCCTTTGTGACAAGTCAGCATCAGCTCATCACACGTTTGTTTGTATGGTCGTCCACACCTACGCAGTCGCATGGAAAATGCGTGTGTTCTGGCAATGCATCCCATCTGAGTAGTGTTATCGGTATTTAAAGCACTCCGAGCCTCAGCACTCAACAGTGCCGGGAAACAGTTGAACAATGTTATTTTGGTAGCATTTTTGGTTCCTCACAGACATACATTTCAGCAGGAACATAAATAGAAGAATGTTTATGTTCGTCATAGAAAGGGCAGAGTGAATTCAACTTCATGCTCGCGAATAAGCAGGTTCTAAGGCCCAAACATGTACTTTTAAACGATGGATGTAAAAATGTATTTTTTATGACAATCCAATTTGAAATTCTTATAAAAATGTTGTTAAAAATGGTGTATAGTAATAATTAATTTCTATAATTGATGGACCAAATATTGATTTTTAAGAGTAAACATTTACTTCCTGTTTTTTAACCAGCTCATGGTTCATAAGAGCAACTTTCTGACCTACATTTGACTTTGTTACATGCTGAAATGTAAATTGCATTTATGAGTAAAGGAACCAATCAAAGAAAACAGAAATATTCCAATTGAACAAATGGAATTCACTATCATGCTGAAGTAAAAAATTTAACATCTGATAAAATGAGACTGCAGCTCCACCAGCAAAAAAGCACTTAATCATCTTGTCACTGATAACTTTTGGTGTATTAACCTTTGACTGCTGCTACTGATTACTCTGTGCGTATGTACTACTTTATGTAACTAAATTGTTAAGTCCAAACATGCAGACGAGGCCCCTCCAAACAGTCAAAGTAAAGCTGGTTCTGAAATTATTATTGAATGGGGGGGGACACAGTTTAAAATTTGTGGTTCTGTGAAATGTTGCATCATTTTTTATGTTTATTACATTTATCCTGAGTCAAAGCTGCATAAATATCATATAATCAAATAAGACACCAAGTGGTTAAAGGTTTACTTTATCTGCTTTGTTAGACTGATGTGTTTTTTCATTTTCAAAGTTACTGAATTAAGAGGGTTTTTTTCTATTTTACATGTAGTTTCTACTAAAACGTATGTAAACACAGGTACAGCAGCGGAAAAGACTAGTTTTCCTCTGAAACACAGTGGAAAAGCTTTGTTTTGTTACCTAAAATGAAAGTGCATCTTTGCTCAGTAAGTGGGAGATAATCATGACAATGGACAAAAAGTCTGTTTTTGTCCACATTTGAACACTACCAGACTATCAGACTTAAAATACAAGGGACTGAAAAAAACAAGATGAGTATTATAAATATATAAAAATGAAAAAAGCAAGCTAGATTCAGTTTGTACCTTACAGACTTGAAGAAAACAGAATAAAAAAGTTATTTGAACATTGGTTCAAATGTTGTTGTTAATCTAAACTTTTTCATTCTTATTTTTTAAACTTTAATGAAAAACAGCTACTGTTTTAAATACAGTCGTTGCAACCACATTAGAGTCTGATAATTTAAAGTCTGTCCCTGTAGATGCAATAGCAGAAGAAGAACCAGCTCCATGTGCAATCTCAGGGCATGGGCGCCAATGCTCCAATGGCACGGAGTGCAGGGAAGGCTGGCAAGGTCCCAACGGTGGCATCACCAACTTTGACAATTTTCTGTTTGCCATGCTGACGGTGTTTCAGTGCATCACCATGGAGGGCTGGACGGACGTGCTGTACTGGGTGAGACTGCGGCCCTTTCGACAACCTGTGACAGATTCATGCCTTCAGCGTTGATGTGTCCTACGATCACACACATAGCAGTAATGTGACTGACAATGTGATGATTAAGCTGCTGATCATTTCCTCAGGCAGCTCTTATCACTCAGATATGATTGATTGTCTAAATGACCCCACAGATTCATACACTTTTCCAACTTAATGCTGCTGTTCTGTCACTATCAGCATTCTTATAAGACCTCTGTTTATTTTTCTTAATAAACTCCACTGATGTTCTGTTTGTGTTTTCTGACTATTTCTGTCTTTTATTCCCCATTCCTTCCTCTGTTTTCCCTCTCTTTTCTTCCTCTGTGGTGACTGCCTGCTTCTCCAGATGAACGATGCTATGGGTTTAGAGCTTCCATGGGTGTACTTTGTCAGTCTTGTGATCTTCGGCTCCTTTTTCGTTCTTAACCTGGTTTTGGGTGTGTTGAGCGGGTAAGAAGCTTCTTCTCTTTGAGGACAGAGACTTTCTGCTTGGTTACAGGCCGAAGGTTCTCTGTTTTTTTATGTTTGTGTCTTTCAACGTCTGCTTTTGACTCCTGTAGGTCAATGATGCCATTGGATGGGAAACACCGTGGATCTATTTTGTCAGCCTGATAATATTGGGCTCCTTTTTCGTGTTAAACCTTGTGTTAGGTGTGCTAAGTGGGTAAGAGGCAACTTGTGCAGTGGGTTTGCTGTGAAGTGTGCAAAGCGTGCTTTTTAGTCTATGGGGACAAAGTGGCACTCTACAATTAGATATATGCTAAGCTGATAAAATGTAAGTTATGCAAATGAACATATCTTGACAAAGTTTCAAACCTAAACCTAAAATTACATACCATTTTTTCAATTTTGTTCCTAATAATGTTTTCGTCAAACTCTAAGGTTAAACTATGACATCCTCCCCACAGCAGCTGCAAAGTGAGCGTTTTCTCACCAAGCTCATACCCAGCCCACCCAACCTCCTGATAGAGAAATTAATCTTATTCCTCGCCCTTCACTCCCTCTGTGTTCCTAAGCTCCCTCAAACCCCGGTTTGCTTTCCCATCTCTGAAGAGTGGGGGTGGGATATTACAGCAGAATTAACGGGATGGTTGACCAGCAGAACAGGCTGTTTTGTTGTTTGTTTTACGTATTAATTAAAAAGTCAACAGAGTTCACACAACCATTAAATGAGGTGCTCGTGCAGTCCCTCTTGGATTTTTTGAATTGCTATTATTTATCAAAATCATATATATAGAGAGAGATAGATAGATAGATGTGTGTGTATTAAGTTGCAATGCTTTATCAGTCTTTTTGCTATTTATATAAGCTATAATTTTTGTGCAAACTTAACATCTCTCCATGAAACCATCTGTCTACCTAAATTGCTTTCCTGTTTGATTAAGATGCTCGCCTGAAGGATAAGCTACTGTACTGTAGTGGCTCTATTTATAGAACTGTGGTGTCTCTTAAAGGTGTACATCTCCCTCCAGTGGCTACTGCTCAGAAAAACACTAAATACATTGAAATATTTTGTGTATCAATTATTAATTTATGTGAAACAAATGAACAGAAAGAATAGACGGGAAGTCCCACACGGGATATTTTCAGTCAATGTCTAAACCCCCCTGTAAGTTGAGAAGATTTTTGACAATTTGCTTCTTGTGTGCTGTGGATGGTCTCCTGCGCAGGTCTGTGGTCACAAAGAAACCCCTGCTTATTTGCATGTGTTTTGTTTTTTTCATAACCCCAGAGAATTCTCCAAGGAAAGAGAGAAGGCCAAGGCTCGAGGAGACTTCCAAAAGCTGCGTGAAAAGCAGCAGCTTGAGGAGGACTTGAAGGGTTACCTGGACTGGATCACTCAGGCTGAAGACATCGACCCTGACAACGAGGACGAGGCGGATGAGGAGAGCAAGCGTAACCGTAAGCCCCCTCCTCTACTGTCTGTCCCGCTCTGCATTAACTGGTTAAGAGCAAAGCTGCATTACCATGATGAGTGCCCCACGACACGTACTGACACAGTACTGCTATCATCATGGAAATGATCCAGCAGTGTTTGTCATTGTTGGCTCCAGAGGTTTTCTATTTCCGCAGTACGTAACTGGAACAGTATTTTAAGATGACCGAGAGAGCTCAAGGTAGAGCAGTGCAGGAAATCACGTCCACGTGGATGGAAAAGCTCTCCACACAGACAAAGCCAAGGACACCACACAAAAATGTAACTGATGAGGCTGAAGCACAATGGGGACACTTTATATTCATATTAATTTTTAAAGAGTTCAACGTAAAAGCAGTGATTTAACTGAAAGAAAGTACATGAAGAGGTGCTCAGTTGAAAAGCCCTAAAACCACAGTGTGTTAAAAACAATTATATCTCTGAACTTGTTTCTTGAAGTTTAAATTGTTGCAGTGACTTTTACGTGTAGTTGATCCTAAAACAAGTCCTTGAAATAAATACTTGTATGTTGGTTTTAAACCAAAATGTTATTCAGGAGACTGTTTCCACTTTAAAATGGATCTTGTCCCTGTATTACTGTATTACTTCTGTTCGGGTTTAAAGTGCTCCATTTTTCCAATTGCCCCAGATAGCTGTTCAATTAAGTCCACACATCTAGCACAGATACAGAGGGTATTAAATAGAGTACAATCTAAAAAAGTAATGATACAGTACCTTTTCCTTTCCCAGTTACTCAACACTTACCTTTCAGACACACAAGAACAAATACAACGGAGAAGGGAAAAAGCATTTTTGTTCAATTTATGCAGATTTTATTTTGCATGCACTCAATAACTTAAATGTATGTGGACAGACAGGTTTATCAAACATGTTACAAAAGTAAAAAAGAATGTGCCATAAATCGCACTGGAGTTCCTCTGAGAAGAATTTTTTTATCCAAATCCTCTGGATATAAGCATCACACGTGAGACAGAACAGAAAACTTGTGGCCGCCTTACCTTTATCGTTTTAATGTTGGATCTCACCGTCTGCTCATTACGGTCTCTGTCCGCTGTTGCCTCTCCCACATGTTTTTTCCTTGTTTAAGATGTACCGTTATTTCATTAGCAGTATTAATCCATATATTCACCATGATGTGAGAACATCCCACTTAAAGCTACTTTGTTAAAGAGGTGTATGGTCCATGCTGCTTCTCTCCAGCTTCCGTCGTGGCGTTTAGTGTTTGTCTCCAAAACGTGAACTCCAACTAACATGTTCCCATGTTAGTCCAGGTCCTCGCCTCCTGCGAATGCTTATTGTGACTAACAGCTGTCTGTGTTGTTTCTATGCCCTCCTCAGTGTCTGCAGCCCATGTGGCTCCTGGTGCTCTTGTCGTTGTGGGATATTGATATTTCGAACACTGTTGTTGTATTGTGGTGCCTGTCTGCTCTGACCCATTTTGATAGCAGCCCATTCTCGCCCTCCATGTCCCTGCGCTGTGCCGTTGTGTCTGAATGCATGGGCTTGCATGCATTGCACATGAAGGGGTGACTCTGGCTGACCTCACAGAGAAGAAGAAAGGAAGGTTTGGGTGGTTCAGCCAGTCGTCCGACACTCATGGTAAATCCTGTGGTTTTCCCTTCTGTCCTCTCTAGCTTTTATGTGTCTTATGTGTGCACGTATCTGTGCATTTATTTTATTATTAAAGTGATCTCGCACATTTGCAGGTAGTTTATCAATGTACGGTAGTTGTGTTTAAACAAAACTTTTTGAATACTCCTTGAGGCTGTGTTGTATACTATACTACAATGAGATAAAGTCCTACTGAAAGTTCATTTTCTGACTTGCCTGTCTTGGCTTCCACATTGCATTAGATTTACTTGTAAAAGTTCTAATTAGTTTTAGGCTTTGTTTTCATACATGTGAAGCTTATGGAAATTTGTCAACCTTTTATTAGTCTTTGTGTTTGTGTTTTTCCTCCATAGATGTCCACAGGGCTGGTTCTTTGAATAACAAAAATGTTAAAAAAGTATAGCTGTGGAAATGTTATTTTGTAGAGAGCCACACACTCAGCATGCTTGTAGGGAACATGGCTAAACCCAGATCACTACACCATCTATCAGCACGGTTTTCAGAGCTGAAACCTGTCCGACAGCTCAGGAATGAAAGCCAACATGTCTAATTTAAGCTACAACACACTCCCTCAAACAAATTACTGAGACATTTCACACAGTTAAAACACATCCGTCTGCACATAGAACTGCCAAATCACTACATTTAATGTGGCATTTAAGGACTCTGTCCTGCTCACGGTACTCCCCTGTTTTCTGTCTGCTCCTCATTTTGGGTTAGCCTTGTTAGAGAGTCTGTCTGCTCTCCTGACCTGTGTCAGCTCCCTATCAGCCCTTGCTATTTGATACTGATGCTGACAGTGAGGCAGAGCAGAGGCACATTGCAGCTCCCTCCACTTTAATACGATTTTTCGTGAGTTTTGATATAGCTTTGAATATTAACATCACTCTGATACAAGCCTGACTCACCTGAATTTAGGGTTTCATTTTTAGCTTTACCAGTAAGTTGTTTTTCAGATCTTTATTCAAAAAGCATTTAGGCAGACAATTGCATCTTCTTACTTTTTTAACTTCTTCCCATCTGTAAGGGTGCTTCTGTGAAATGCTTCTTCAGTGCAAATTGGTTTAATTTTAAATTAACTTTCTTTTAAATGTGACTTTATTGCTGTGGCAGCGAGCGTTCCAGCCAGTGAAACCGAATCTGTGAACACGGAGAATCAGAACGGGGAGGATGAAAAGACACCATGCTGCGGACCTCTGTGGTGAGGATGCACAGCCGCTTTTTCTTTTCTTTTTTTAATCAAAAAGCCCTCTGTAGATTGCTGGGACCAACAATGAGTTTTAAATCTTTCATCTGTTGACACTCCATGAAGTTTTTCTGCTTTTGTAAACTTTGACCTCCTCTTTCTTTCAGTCAAAAAATTTCAAAGTCAAAGTTCAGGTCAGTATATTCGTGTGTCTATCCCTTCATAGTGCACGTACTGTAGCTCACACAACCAGGCTTATGCCTTTATTCAATTATGCAGATTTTTGTTAGCTTGGCTTTTATTTTACTGTATCTACAACGAGCCTTCCCTGGCAATGATAAATGAAGAGCTTTCATAAAGTCAGCATGTACCCTAAAGTATTTTTAGAGAATAGCCTTACACAGTGTTTTTCGGCTCATTTAACTGAACAGTGTGACTTGCAAATTCATGCACTTCCCCTGTGGCTCCTCTCCCATTTTTCACTGCATTGTTATTAATGGCCACAAACTCTAAATATTTCCTTAAGAAGCACTGAAGTGATATATCTATTCCCGTGTTTATACACCAGTATCTGTTATACCACTTTAAAGTTTTTGTGGAGAGTAAGTCCGACTCAGGTTGTTCTTCACTCTGAAATTGTTCTCACCACCTGCAGTCGGCGCTGGCGCCGCTGGAACAGATTCTGCCGCAGGAAGTGCCGTTTGGCTGTCAAGTCGGTGCCTTTCTATTGGCTGGTCATCATCCTAGTGTTCCTCAACACCCTCACCATTTCTTCAGAGCATTATAACCAGCCTATGTGGTTGACTCAAGTACAGGGTATGATTGGAACAGCAGTACACATGAAAGCTTTTTGTTTTGATGTGTTTGGACTTATTCAAAAAGCGTGAAATACAAAGTTTGATCAAAGTACATTTAATTCCAAATGTCATTGCATACACATCAGATTTCTTTCCTCCACATAATCTGCAGTTATTTGAAAAATATATACCAAATTGGATTTGTCATCTTTTTGTCTTTTGCAGCTAAATAAATCTCAGCTCTCACATATTCAGCATTGTTTTAATGCGACTTACAAAGTAAAACACATATATTTATTTCTCGGTTGTATAGTCTCCCGTGTGACAGGCAGGGACATTCACCACTATACCAACCCACAACCACCTTTAATTCAATTGTGACTTTTTCTCTGGCTTTCAGATGTGGCCAACAAGGTGCTGCTAGCCCTGTTCACATGTGAGATGTTGGTGAAGATGTACAGTCTCGGGCTACAGGCCTATTTTGTTTCCCTGTTCAACCGCTTTGACTGCTTTGTGGTGTGTGGAGGAATCACTGAAACCATTCTGGTTGAGTTGGAAATCATGTCTCCCCTCGGGATTTCCGTGTTCCGCTGTGTCCGCCTGCTGAGGATCTTCAAGGTCACACGGTAAGTGTGTCCTCACACTGTGACTGTGTTTGTTTACATGCCCTCACTGTGGAATTTGTGTGGCCGTCCTTTAATGTCTTGTCTCTCCCTGCACCTCTTGGTAAATTGTTCCTTACAGACACTGGCAGTCTCTGAGTAACCTGGTGGCTTCTCTGCTAAACTCCATGAAGTCCATTGCTTCCCTGCTGCTGCTGCTCTTCCTTTTTATTATCATCTTCTCCTTGCTGGGGATGCAAGTGTTTGGTGGAAAGTTCAACTTTGACGAAACTCAGACAAAGCGGAGTACCTTCGACAACTTCCCTCAAGCCCTGCTAACTGTGTTTCAGGTCTAAAGTCTTTTATTTACGTTTAAACTATGAAAAAACTGGTATTCTCTCCAAAATGTGCCAAAAATACATGAGAATATAAAAAAGTTGCCATATTGAGCTGTGACTGCTATGGTTGTACCATACACACTTATAACAGACAAGAATGTGTCCTTTTAGGCAATATTTTAACGTCAGGAAATGTTAATCTATTACAACTTTGTGATGTGAACCCTGTTTTTTCAGAATTCCATTGCAAGTATCATAACCAGAAATTAAAAAAAATTTCAAGAATCTTTTGCAGATTATTAGTAAACAGGACACCACAGGGCTTAAGACCAGCAGTCAGTATCGGTTCATTTCAGATGGCTGATCGCAGCTTCAGTGTGACAGCTTTCTCCACCTTATTTAGTTTTTTTCTTTTTAAATGTGCTGATCCATTTAGATCCTGACGGGAGAAGATTGGAATGCTGTCATGTATGATGGAATCATGGCGTATGGAGGCCCTTCTTCCACTGGAATGATTGTGTGCTTTTACTTCATCATCCTCTTCATCTGTGGAAACTGTATCCTCGCTTTTACGACACAGTGGAGGCCAACCTAGAGCTAATGATTGTCTATATTAAATTCTGTGTGGGGTTAGAAATGTGAACTAGGAATGCAGTATCAGTTAGTTCAGGGGCATCTTGGGTTCTTTGGATAAATGGGTTGTTATTTGACTGAATACCTTGCTCAGATATCCTCCTGAATGTCTTCTTGGCTATTGCTGTGGACAACTTGGCAGACGCAGAGTCTCTTAATACAGATGACAGTGACAAAAAAGGGTGATCTTTTTTTCTCAGTTCTTCCGGATTGATGCCACATGTTTGGATGAATGCAGGAATAATTATCGTCAATTTCTTACAGGGATAAAAAGGATGATGAAAAAGATGAAAAGGTATTATTTAATATAATTCATCCGCTGAACCAAAAATAAATTTGTCCACATAGCCTGACATGCATTTAATGTGCCTTCTTGTAAGGAGGATGAGGAGGAAATTGATGACAATGCAGCAGAAGAGGAGGACCCAGAGGTCCCATCCGGGCCTCGGCCGGCTATCTCTGAGCTGGTAAAGAAGGAGAAGATCATTCCTATCCCAGAAGGAAGTGCCTTCTTTATCTTCAGCAACACAAACCCGTAAGAGACCTTTAAATCGCGTGCATATACATAAAACACTGTGTTGGTTCTCAAACAGCTTTCAATTTTCCTTCTTTCCTCCAGCGTACGAGTGTTCTGCCACAAACTCATCAACCATCACATATTCACCAACCTCATCCTGGTCTTCATCATGCTCAGCTCTGTCTCACTCGCTGCCGAGGATCCAATAAGAAACTTCTCAGCCCGAAACATTGTAAGTTTTCTGTTCTTCCACAGAAATGACCTCACCACACAAAAAAGGCCTGTGCCAGATGAAAGCATTGATGAAGTAACGTATCGATAAACCCTTTTTCTGGTAGTAATATTTGTTGAGGATTTTCTTGTCCCATTCAATTTATATCACGTTGTTTTAAAGTTGGTTAGCCTTTTTTAGTGTCAAGTAAAAGAAGAAATCAAAGGACTGTCTTAGCCTGTCAATAATTTTCTGAGTAATTGTCCCTGCTGTTATTACATTTAGGTTAAATTGCAAAGGTTTTCGAGGCTGTTCTTTAAAATGTGATGATAAAAAATATGTTTTGTTTTTTTAAGAAAAGGGTTACGAGGGATTATTTGACAAATAACATTAAGTACATAAACCGTATGAGATTATTTTCATTTTAACAGCTGTGAATTATGATCTTGGTGACCATGAATGAAAAAACACTCACTCCTATAGTTTCTTTTCATCCGAGGGCTGTTTTTCATACGACTGAGTTCATAGATAAGAAGTACAGGAGCCAAACAGATCTGGTTTTCTTATCATCCTCGCATCCTAACTGATTTTTGGACTGTGTGTAAGAATTGGTTGTAGCCATCATGACACCACTCATTCTTTGTGGACTGTCATTTTCGCTGACCCAGCCGTGGAGCAAGAGGATAAAGCAGGAAAGTGATATTTGGAGCCTGTTTGGATAAAGAAATGACATTCTTTGGACTGCTAATGTTTCCAGAGGGATAGTTAGCTCACTGAGCGGGTGTAAATTCAGTTAATGACATCATAATGACTTGTGAGGAAGAAATGTTAACTTTATGTTTGAGAAGAGAAGTTATGGCTTTTTCTTTCATCACTCTTCAAGGCACCTCCTCCTTGCCTCAATTCAGTCACTGGCGGATAAGTCAGGCTTTTTATATAAAGTCTCTTTATCCACCTCTGCTAGATTTCCCCTCAGATTAAACCTGCTTGGAAAGTATCATTTCAAACCTATATTTAGTGCAGTTTCCGCAGTGTTTAGCTGTTTAAGCGGTATTGTCTGAGTTTACTTTTTAATCTGACAGTTGAATGCAGTGTTTTTTTCAGCCTATTGCAGCACTCCAAGTGTCCGCAATAAATGATAGCTTGGAAAAACTTAAGATGGAGAAACACTGTACTGGCTTTTTTTTAATCAGCAATCAGTTAATGGTTCACAAAAGTGAACTGCCTACTTAATCTTACACTGGACACTTCAACTTGTGGCCAGTGTCTCAGCTTAATTTTCTGACTTGCTAAAAGCAAGTTATAGTTGCTGGCCTTCTTTGGTGAGCGGAAACAGGTGAAAACACCAGAGTGGTCCTGCTTGTAAACCTTTGAGCAGCTTGCCTGGTTTTCCATGCATTGCAAATATTTTTCTCAACAACTGAGGGAATTTACTATTTGCAGCCTTTTCCAGATGATGCTTTAATTTATATTCCTTCTTTCATCTTGTTTTTTTTTATGTGATGTTTTAAGCTGAACAATGACTATCTTTGTTAAACATCTACGTTGCTTTTTGCAGATACTTGGTTACTTTGACTATGCTTTCACCGCTATCTTTACTGTTGAGATCGTTTTGAAGGTAAATGCTCTGTGTCCCCTGTCTGTGCTGTCACTAACCACATCCCAGTAACACTCCAAACGTCTCGTTGCCTTCCAGGTCCTAGGCTATGCAGATTATGTCTTCACTAGTATGTTTACATTTGAGATCGTATTGAAGGTAACCCCTTAGAATGACAACGAGAGCCTTGCTGCATTCTCTCCTTGTGTGTCACCTGCCACTCAGTACAACCTGGCTTGTTTGTTTCCTTTCTCTTATTTAATTTTTTCATCACGGCACCTCTTTTAAAGAGCAAACAACAAAAAATATTGAGAAAGATTCGTTCAAATTATGCTCGTGAGATGATTCTTGTTGGGGGAAGGAAACATTACATCAACATTACATTATAGTATCATGGGTGTCACGTCATTCGGGCGGTCATCGCTGAAATTGTTTAAGTGACAAACACAATGCAACTGCTGCAATTTAACATATTTATTGGGCTGCTCTGACATTTAAAAGGCATTGGCTGAAGTTGAGTTGGAGGTCAGGGCTTTGTTCAAAGATGTAAAGTCAGCTCCAGTCAAATCTGCCTCCATGTCTCTCATACTGACTGCTCTTCAGATTACCCATAAAAGAGGGGGCAAAACCAACCATGTTCCCTGCAGAGCATGGTTCAGTCTGCTTTCCCTGACTGATTGCGTGTAAATGTGGAGCTGCCTCTGCAGCTGATTGGCTTAAACCGAGGAGTCCACTGCTCTTTGACTTCAGCTTTCCCAGTGCTCGCAGTTAGCGGTATCCACTCTGGTCTCTCTGCTGGGCTTCACGTTTACATGCACTCAGAAAATTAGTCCTTTACTTTTATTTTAAAGGAAGAGTTCTTTTGGCTGATTTTTCTACTCTGCCTGCTTAACGTTGAACTTTTTAATATGGAGCTGCCTCCACTTTATTCAGAATTATTAAAGAACATAACGGAATGTGCTTTAAGAGGACGGTCCACATGAATGTAACAGTAAGGCCATTTCGACTTTCCAATCACTATAACTAGAAACTCTTGCGGGTAGTAAATATCCCTAACATCATGGCAACAAAATGCATGTTTTATTGCCTCATTTCATAGTAGATTGTGAAATGAATGACTTACTACTACATTCATGTAGTAAAGGGCCGTAGGGGTGGCGATGGTAGGTTTAGCTTCCTGTTTCACCGCTTTGAGCTCGCCACCCCAATCAGAGTGATTAGCAGAGTGTGGAAAAGTGTGTGCGTGTGTATTTTTGACTGCAAGGTAATGAGTGCTGAGAATATATTCCCATTTAAAATGTACTACAGGCTGTCTATCATGTTGTATTGACATTAGATCTGTATTTGTATGCCTGCTGTGGTTTTAGCAAAACATACATCTCTGTCCTTTACTCCTTCAACACCATCTGTCCTTTCCTCAGATGACAACATATGGAGCATTTCTCCATAAAGGAGCATTCTGCAGGAATTATTTCAACCTTCTGGACCTTTTGGTGGTGGGAGTCTCCCTTGTGTCATTTGGCATTCAGTGAGTACAAAAAAAAATTAAAATCTGTCAGTGTTCACACTGGCAGTTCTGCACAGTCCATCAGGATTATGGTAAAAAGAAAATCCACTCGCTGTAGAGCAAGAGAGGAACTAGAATATGTGTATGCATTGTAGATGTTGTTTGTTTCTCATTGCGTTGTTTCACACTTCCCAGGTCCTCGGCCATCTCTGTGGTGAAAATTCTTCGAGTCCTTCGCGTGCTTCGGCCGTTGAGGGCAATTAATAGGGCCAAGGGTCTTAAGGTGGGAGCTTGTGCCTTTCTTTAGTGGATACGGAATGATGGCCACAGCCCCGAAGTCAGCCTGAAATATTTTTGTTCTTCTTGTCTTTCAGCACGTTGTGCAGTGCGTGTTTGTGGCAATAAGAACTATTGGCAACATCATGATCGTCACCACTCTGCTTCAGTTCATGTTCGCTTGTATAGGAGTGCAGCTATTTAAGGTAAACTGTGCTGAGATGTAAAAAAAAAAAGGATGTGTAAAAAGTCCTTGGTAATTAGCTTTACCATTTTGAAGGAATAATAGCAATGAAAGTGAGTTTTTTTCCTCTACAGGGAAAGTTTTATCGCTGCACGGATGAAGCCAAGTCCAGCCCAGAAGAGTGCAAGTTAGTTTTACATAAAATATTCCTGCTTAGTAAACACAGTATTACCTCACACTATCATTAATCTATTTGCAATCTGACACTTTCTCAAAGGGGAACCTACATTGTGTATAAAGATGGAGATGTAAACCAGCCAGCCATCCACAGGAGGGTGTGGTACAACAGTGAATTCAACTTTGACAATGTCCTAATGGCCATGATGGCTCTGTTCACTGTCTCCACTTTTGAAGGCTGGCCTTCGTAAGACTAAAGCTTCTTAACTCCACTGTTAAAGATTTAACTGTGTGCACAGGAAGAAGAACTCATGATCCCATGCTGCCGTCCTCAACAGGTTACTGTACAAGGCCATCGACTCCAACAGAGAGAACCTCGGTCCCATTTACAACTACCGTGTGGAAATTTCCATCTTCTTCATCATCTACATCATTATCATCGCTTTCTTTATGATGAACATCTTCGTAGGTTTTGTCATCGTCACGTTTCAGGAGCAGGGAGAGAAAGAGTACAAAAACTGTGAACTAGACAAGAACCAGGTGAGAATCATCAACAATGCTGCTTGAAATGTTTAGAAAAACTATGTCATTCTTAGATTTTACTTTTTAAAAGCTAATTTTAGGAATTTTATAACCAGGTATTTTGATTTTGTTTCATTGCAATTCACAAATATCCTGCTTGGCTTTTAAAAGCCTTCCTCTTTTGGTTTATGGAATTACAGGAATTACGCCAAACATTTAAACGCATGTTGTATGTTTCTGTGCAGCGTCAGTGCGTCGAGTATGCCCTTAAAGCCCGCCCACTGAGGAGGTATATCCCCAAGAACCCATACCAGTACAAGTTCTGGTACGTGGTAAACTCCACTGGCTTTGAGTACATCATGTTTGTGCTCATCATGCTCAACACACTCTGCCTCGCTGTACAGGTGAGAAATCCAGGGATCACATGCCTGACACCAAACTCATGTGACGGCAAAATACTCTTTTGTTGAAAATAATTGTACATTGAACACTTACTTTGTCCACCTCACCGCCACAGTAACATTGTTTTATTATTTCAGATGTAGTCTTTGACTAGTATTGCCAATGATATTATTCTAGATCACCTCTCAATGTCTTAGATGTTTTGTTTTGTTTTATAAAACCAACCTCTTTGTGTTTTTCTGCAGCACTATGGCCAGTCAGCCCTTTTTAACTATGTAATGGACATTCTGAATATGGTCTTCACCACGGTGTTCACTGTGGAAATGTTTCTCAAACTCATCGCTTTCAAACCCAGGGTAAGTAATCCCTATGTGTCCTCACACAAACACACACTGCAAACAGGACAAAAAACAGATAGTCGCTCGCAGATTTGTGCTTTTTTAAATCACAGTTTGGAAAAGAAATTACCTGGTTTCATTCTGAAAACTCTGTTCAAACTTATACTCCCCTTCCCAGCACAATGTGAATGGCACCCTCACAGTGTTTGAGCGAACACAAAGAGACGAAAGGCTCTAGATAAATGACAAAACTTGATTTATCAGATATTGCACATCTCACAGATGACATCCCCAATCATCTGTGCGACGCTGCAACATCTCAGATTTAACGTGAAAGCTCGTGTTTGTGCGCACCAACGCAGAGTCACTGCTACAGTTCAGACAGACAGCCGAGTCCATAAGTTTCCGATTCAGACTCTTCCATTGTAAAGTAGCATAAGTAAAAAGGTATTATTAGCATAATTATGTAGAGAATATGTTTTCCTCAAAATTTCTAGCTATTGCCTAAATGGTTTTTTAAAGGAGAATGGCATGAGGTTTGTGTGTTTTTTGATACTGGTAAAGGATTAAAGGTATATTTTTCTTCTTTATGCCCTCCCATTGATTCAACATTGGGCTGACAGCTCTTTGTTCCAAAGAAGGACCGAATCCTAGTAAGAGAAAAGTGTGGGGTGCAATGTTTTTTTATGTTTTTTTATGTCTATTATTATTATAATTATTATTATTGTAATTATTAATATTAGTATTAGTATTATTTGTATTGCCTGCAAAAATATGCACTGTAATCATTAGCACGTCACAAGAGGTACAAACAAAGAACAACTTTTTTTAAATTGGGAGTACAACTTGATTCAAATTTGAGGGAGAGAGTAAAAACCTGTTTGCTTTTGTTTTTGCTCAACCAAACTCACCCACCACTTGCTCACCCTTGCTCAGGGGTATTTTGGGGATGCCTGGAATGTGTTCGACGCCCTGGTAGTGATTGGCAGTATAGTAGACATTGTTCTCAGTGAGATTGATGTAAGTAAGCTCGACTACAGTGGGCCTCACCACTCTCTGACCTCCTCTTCCTCTGGCCACCTCAATAGCAGGTTCCATGGTTGAATTCTGGCTTTTGATCTGCTTTTTTCTAATCCTTTATTTCCATTTCTCTTTCTCTTTTTCCTCCCCTGACCCTGCCATGCAAACTTTTTTCTCTCACTATTTTATTTTCAACTTCTCTCTGATCATCTGTCTGATTTTCTATCTTCATCCTTTTTTATCATCTTTGATTGCCATCTTTACCCCCACACGGTGACTTTAACAGCACTATTTCGCTGATGCTTGGAACACATTTGATGCCTTAATTGTTGTTGGTAGCGTCGTCGACATTGCTATCACTGAAGTCAATGTAAGTACTATGTTTTTCTGAGCCTTGAGTTGAACTGAAGCCTTACAGTTAAACTTCATGGCAAGTGTTAGTGCAAATGTGATATATTGAAAGACTCTGCTGTAAACTTGAAAAAAAAAAAACAGAGCAATGAAGCTGTATTTTTCTGTCAAGAAACAAAAGCAAAAATAAGAACATTGCACATAAGGAGCCACTGACTTTTTGTAAAGCTTCAGTCTGACTTTTGAAGTCACTCTTGTCTTGTTTTAATACTGCTTTCTCCACATGTGTGATTGCCTTGATTTTTATACTTTTATTTTGACAAAATGTTTCAAATGTTTGCTGAACCTGCTGATTGTTTACCTTTGTATACAGCGATGTCAAAAACAGGGGTCGCTCACATTTCTTTGTGAACTGAGGCCTGTATTTGGTTCGTAGCAGGATGGATTCTAATTCTTACTTTTGTTCATTTTGTTCCCATAGAAACTTGTAGAGGCAAGTATAGCAATGACCAAATCTGTTGCTTGTGTGTAATCTGTTGTTGATATCAACTTTATCTTGCAACCCCTTTACAGTTTAACACAAATTCAATTATTGACTGATTTTAGTGATCTTGCAGCCTAAATGTTTCATTTGTCGGCATGTTAAGGTCAATCATGTAAGGAATTCCTGGCAGCATTATAAAATTAGTGCTATAAAGTTCATCCATATCAAACAATAAAAATGACAAAAACCAAGCAGCTACTCTTCTCCTTATAGCTTTACTCTGAGCAGAAACATAAAAAACAAAGACTACGTGGCTTTGTTGTTTGGTGCTTGGCCAAATAGTCCAATAGACTTAAGGCTTGAATTTGCTGGATTTGCAAGAATCTGAGTGACCAAATTTCTGTTATACATGAAGGCGCTTGCTCTAGTGGAAGTGTGCCACGGATTAGGTTTCTCTGTTCTGAGTGGCCTGATGTCTGAGCTGCAGTGCTGTTTCTCTGGAGTATTATTTCACATTTTCAGCGTTGTGTTTTTAAGTGTGCGTCTGCATGAGTGTGTTAATAGACAATAACTTTGTTTGAAGCATACAATATTGATGTGTTTTAGGTCACTCATTGTTATGCATGTGTGTTTTACCTGTGTAAAACCTGTGTTTTACTTGTGTTTGTTATTTAGGTATGTGTGTTTGCAGGAGTACGTGTGCTGTGACTGTGGGGTCATGACGTTGATTTCACTTGTGCTTTGTTTGTGGTTTTTCAACACCTGCCGTTACATTAATTTCTGATCTGCATGGCATATGTTGTCCGGGTACTGTTCCATTTACTCATAACAGCTCATCGGTTATGAGTTAGTAAAAATTTGATTTTTTTTTAATTACATTTAAGATTTTCGCCTGAACTATATAAACTCTCCAAATGCATGCTGGGGTGTCAGCCCATCACCTCATTCCCTAACATCCTCTCCTCGTCCCATCTCCTGCAGATGGCACTCGGCCACCCACTCCATGCCCCTCCGGTCAGTGTTTCCCATTAGTGCCTTGTGAAGTTTGGCTATTTTTATGTTTTTGCTTGCTGTACGCCTCAATCATTACCTCCAGACAGAATGGCCTGGAGCTCAGAGCTTAGAAGCTCCACACAACATTAAGGATCATTTAAAACAGAAAGAAGTTAGATATCTGATTTTTGTCTCCAGTATAAAAGTTTGGACTTTTACGAATATTATATTTACTTTAATTAAAGTTGTGTCAGCTACAGTGGTTTTGCAGACAGCTGAAATAATGTATCAACTGGAAGGGAGCAGATCAAATTTATGTAAGGACCATAAAGGAAATCTAAAGCTTTCTGAGCAACTCAAACTTGTGCTTCAAATCTAACCCCCAAATTGAACTACAACTCTTTCACCAAAAACAATCCACATTAATCAGGTAAGATCATGAGACTGAAAAGTGCATTGGCAGATCAGAAGAAAAAAATTAATTGGTCCTGATTTTTTACATTCTCACAGAGTGGTTTAATGCAGCTGAGTCTGAGGTTCTTTGATGATCTTGTGTTTGTCTCTGTGAGTGATTGTTCCTGTGTTTTGTTCTGTCTTCCTGTAGTGAGCTCTTAAAGCTCAGAATGGAGCTCATGTGTAGCGCAGGTGTGTAGACTCCAGTGAGGGGCATGAACTCTCCAGAAACTCTGTCTACTTCCTTCCTCTGTATCCCTCTCTGTCTTTCTTTCCCCTCTTATTTCAGTATCCTTTTCAGAAATGTCTGTCCTAGCTTCGGTCTCGTTGGCAGGCCTCCTCCTCTCTGTCTTTCTCTGCTCTCTCTACTGTCATTCCTTCACGTCTCTCTGCACCGGACTGTGAGAGCGCCCTGCTGTGGCACTTTTCTCGCAGGGCACTACAGGCATGCATGAGTTGCTGCACTGCTATGAGATCACCACTGGCTCCACATCATTCAAATGTCTTGCGTGTGCGTGCAGTGCTACCCCAGAAATTATGGCGATGCGGAACGCATGCTCCATCAGCGCTGTGGCCAGGATTACCTAAAGAACCTCCTCAAGCTAACTCAGTTTTTCTTTAATCATTTTTGCTCATTTTGCATCTCATTCTGACAGTTTTCTTTTGTGATGAAAGAATGGATCAAAGCCATATCTGTCTGGAAGTTTTCAGTTATGAGACTTGCAATATTGCTCTTTTAGCATTTATTTAAGCTCTTTTTTTCTTTTTTTTTCTTTTCAAAAGAACTATTTTTCTCACTCAAGCCACCACCACTATGACTGGTGTTTCTCTTACCTCCCTCCTCGAATTCTCTGTGCACAAATGGTCAATGGTTACAGCTGATGCACTCTAGATTGGTGCAACATGAATTACACATACGAACTGTGTATGGGTGTGGAAATGTGTGAAGGATTGTGTGAAATGAATTTTTTGTTCACCAAAATATTTGCTTAAAACAGATACGGATCAGGGGAGAGTGAGCATCGCACATTTACAGTGCTTTTATCATGTCATCATTTCACATTTGCTATCAGTGAACGTCACATTAACATTGTTTCACTTTCACGCTAAGACGCATCTCACCATGAATTCCATTTGATTCCATCAGTACCTAACATTACACTGGGGGAGTGATAAAGTTGTGTGTTAGTCTTACATGTTGATGTACGTCAGTCTGACATGCTACTGTTAAGTCACATAGGAATGTTAAGCCGTAAACTTGTTTTGTGGCCGTCGTTTTAAAGTGTTAAGATTATTTCTGTCATTCTGCTAAGTGTCCATAGACAGTGGTTAATGAGTGTCTGTCTTTGTCATAGTGAAACTATAAGAGATTTTTGTCCTGTCAGTGAAAAGAATAGTGACTTTGTTCTGTCTACGTCTTGACTGACGTGCACTGGCGTTTTGTGACTAAAACTTCAAATGTAATGTCTCTGGTCCAATGTGTGTGAGGCCTTTACAAGTCATTAATGCAGGTCTTTGATTTTAAAGCCAACGGAGGCTCCTCAGGTGGATGAGTTGGGGGTAAGATGCTTCGCACCCCCCATGCCCCCTCTGTCAGGGTCATGCCATGTTTGAATTTGGATTTTTTTTGTTTGTTCTTCTGTTTTCTTCTTCATCTTCGATGATCTGTTGCTTTTTTCAGTTTGAGTTATCTTGTCATTTTAAGGGTTTTTGTTTCCTATACTTGACTTTTCTCATCCCTGTTTTGTAAGATCATTTGCATATCTCAAAACATTTGCTTTACGTTTTTCGGAAATGTTTGGAGTTATTACGAAGAAGGGTGTGTCACTCAAACGTGACGCTCGTATCCAGTTAGGTGGGAGTGGCTCTGAGCCACTCTTCACGTTTGTTCTGTTGACACTGCAACATGGTCTCTGCCCCCGTTTTGGTGTGGGGTAGTGACCCATGGATGACCCCTGGGATCAGGTCACCCAGCTCTGACCTGCGAACCTCCTGGCTGACCCACTGGGGTTGGTCCCACTGTGACTCCGCATGCAGTGACTCTGGACTGAGGGTGCCATGCTTGTGCAGATGTGTACTGTCAAGTATGGCAAGGTTTTTCTCCAGCATGCTTGCCTCCTTGCTTCCTCCCTTGTAGGTCTGTACAGTGGCGGAGAACCTGACAGTGCTTTCTATGCAGACCGACAGAAACATATCAGCTGCAGCTACACTGCACAAGAGACTGAATTAAGCTTTAAAAAGCTGCCTAAATGGTAGATTATAGTAGTAAAATGCTACAAAGGAAAAACGCATTTAATAGATGCTACCAGCATCTGGAAATCCAATCTTTCCATCAAAGATTCATCTTGATATGAAGATGCAGTGCTGCTTTCTCAGCCCATATGAATCTGGACTAGGGGTCTTGCTTCATCCTCTAAAGTACAGTCAGATGCTCTGTATTCACGATATAAGTTGTTGCTCATCTGACCAATCTGACTCAGCGCTGCTTCTCCGCAGAATACGGAGGACAGTGCTCGCATCTCTATCACCTTCTTTCGCCTGTTTCGGGTGATGCGGCTGGTCAAACTTCTAAGTAGAGGGGAGGGCATACGCACCCTGCTATGGACTTTTATTAAGTCCTTCCAGGTGAGTTTAAGTTTAATGAATGTATTCATGGGTGATAGAAAGTCTCTCCGGTTAATCTTTCTTTACTTCTTTCCTGTTTTTGCCTGAAGGCTCTGCCATATGTTGCCCTCCTGATAGCCATGCTGTTCTTCATCTACGCTGTCATCGGCATGCAGGTTGGTACTTAAATGTTCAGGAAACGTCTTTTCTCTTTGTCTTTTCTGTTGATGACACTGTATTAAAATGGACAAAATTGCTGCTTCAGGTGTTTGGAAAGGTCGCCATGGTGGATGGCACGCACATTAACAGAAACAACAACTTCCAGACCTTCCCCCAGGCTGTGCTCCTTCTCTTTAGGTCTTTGACACTCATATGTTGGTGACTGACTTTTTTGTTTTTATGCTTAACATCTTGGCTGAGTAATCTGTCTCTCGTGCCTGTCTGTTCTCCAGGTGTGCCACTGGCGAGGCGTGGCAGGAGATCATGCTGGCCTGCATGCCGGGCAAGCTGTGTGACCCGGAGTCAGACTACAACCCGGGGGAGGAGATGACATGCGGCAGTGGATTCGCAATAATCTACTTCATCACCTTCTACATGCTCTGCGCATTCTTAGTATGTGAATAAAAGCTCATTCATTTGACATTTTTGCATTATCCAATACAGCTTGTTTTTCCTTCCAATTTTTGTCTGATGTTTGTTGAATAAATAGATTCAAATTAATTTTAAGAAAATCATACTTATAAGTTTTTATAAACAACTTTTCAAATTTCTCACCCTCAAATGGAGTTTGTACAAAATTGGTTAACAGCGGACAAATACTGTTGTGACAAATACTACACTTCAGAATTAATAGTAAAGGTCATATCTAGATATTGTTTTTTCACGCTATTGTAAATGTATTTCATTTTGAATTAATTTAAAGTAAACTGTGCTGTTTTTTTTGTTATAACACAAACCCCTTAAAGTATTGACACAAACACCATAATACAAAAGTAATTTCCTTCCATTTCTCTAGATCATCAATTTGTTTGTTGCCGTCATTATGGACAACTTTGACTATCTGACCCGCGATTGGTCCATTCTTGGTCCTCACCACCTTGATGAATTTAAGAGAATTTGGTCAGAGTATGATCCTGAGGCAAAGTACGTGCTTTATTGATTCATATTTGCTCTTGTGTGCAGTCATTTGATACTACCAGTACATTTCACAAATTTACTGTTTGTTTCTTATTTTGTTTTTGTTGCACGTAGAGGAAGAATTAAACATCTGGATGTTGTGACCCTTCTTCGTCGTATCCAGCCTCCTCTTGGATTCGGGAAACTGTGTCCTCACAGAGTGGCTTGCAAGGTCCCCTCTTAGTCCATCTTAACACAATTCTGACAACAAGTTTCTGTCAGAAATGCTGATAATCCCTATCACTATCTGTCATGTTAACAGTCTGTAACTGCTCTCTTCTTTCAGAGGCTGGTTGCCATGAACATGCCTCTGAACAGTGATGGCACCGTCATGTTTAACGCCACTTTGTTTGCTTTGGTGCGGACGGCCCTGAAAATAAAAACAGAAGGTATAAGCTGGTTGCCGCACCGTGTTCCTCTCCTGAAAACTGTATACATTATTACTTACGTGCTGTTTGCCATATGCTGCGGTTGCATGAATTTAAATGGACCGTTTGATTCTGAGGGATGTCTGTTTCCACGCGGTACAGGTAATCTGGAGCAGGCCAACGAGGAGCTGCGGGCCGTCATCAAGAAAATCTGGAAGCGGACCAGCATGAAGTTGCTGGATCAAGTGGTGCCTCCTGCTGGTGGTTAGTAGAGCAAACCATTCATACTGGATGAAATCCCACACATCCCGCTGTCGTAGTTCAGCACACAAAGCTAAAGTAGCTTACAGAGAAGCACACACACCATATGCCATCAAGCTGTTCGCATATAATTACTCCAATCCACTCCTTCGTAACAGTAACCTGAATTGAAAGTGTAGATGTGTACACATAGACTGACATATAACGCTGTATCGTGCTGTTTTATGCTCTGCTCATGTTTTCCTGGTTGTACCCTCAGCAGTGTGTCTTTTTTCTGTGTATTTGATCGAAATTCCTTCCTCCTGCCCTGGATGCTGATGGAGACCGCTGACTATCTGCTGGGAGTTTGGGCTTGCATGGCCTTGTAGACCATTTTGCAAGTGCATGCTTTGTCTTTCTGACTAATATCTATGTTCCCTCTCTCTGCTGTCACTCTCTCCATCTCTCTCTCTGACTCACACTGTTGTCTCAATCTCTTCTCCTTTGTCACTGCCTGAGCTTTTACAGCTTATTCTCCTCACACTTTTATATCTCTGTATCCAAAACTGTGACGCTCTTCAGAATATTCTGAAGCAGTTCTGTTTTAGGGTGGTGGCATGGAACTAGTGTTGCCTCTCTGTCCAATCTCTGTCCCCAGCGTGCTTGTTCAAAGTGACTCAGACCCCTGCTTCAGAATGATTCTCACGCACTCTCGCACACACTATTAAGATTGTTTTAAAAAGGGTTCAAATATGTACGCACAGTCAGTTGCATCCACAGCTTCAAGTGCAAGTGCAGTATTTCATATTAGACATATATCAGGCTTATATGAGCATAAACAGATAAATATCCAAAAGCATACCAACGTGTATTATGCTTACAGTAGACGTGCATGTTTGCATGTGCTAAAGCGAAACATTTACTTGTATTTTTAGGATTTAAGAAAGAATTTGGTCCAAACAACCTCGTACCATTTGATTAAAAATAGCACAAAAAAGTGAACACTATAATTTAGAAGTTTTGATTTAGTTTTGCACAAACAGAATTTACATATTCTATTCCGCTCAGGAAAGCGTTTTTCACACTTTAAAGAAATATTTAAAGGCATCCATTCCGATCAATTTTCTTGAGTTCAGTCCTCTTTGTCATATTTTGTGAGAGGAGGGAATTCAGAGTTGCATCAGTGATAACTGACAGCTTGAAATGGGGTTTAACATCAATTACTGAAATTGAGAATTATACGCCGACATTAAAAAGCTGAAGCTGCTCACATACAGAAATATGCACGCTTATACTCTAAATTAAGGCAATGTCTGTCCCTCTTGAAGTACAGCAAAGGATCCTACTGTAGGTGATGTACAATGAGGTACAGTATATACACCATCAAGATGGATGTATATAATTTGGGAATAAATTATCTGATTTTTTAATACTACCTCGCTTTGTCTTCCACCCTAAGCTGGTGGAGTCACATTTTGAGGAGACTGGGCAAGGGAGGGCTAGAGCCTCCCATTCTCTCTCCCAGGGTGCTGTGTGTCATGACATGCTGACACAGGAAGCATTTGTGTGGTCTGTTCACTCAGATGATGAGGTAACCGTGGGGAAGTTCTATGCCACTTTCCTGATACAGGACTACTTTAGGAAATTCAAGAAACGTAAAGAGGAAGGCCTGGTGGGTGCACACCCTTCCCAGAACAACACAGCCATTGCCTTGCAGGTAAGCGCTCGTGTGTGTCTGTGAGAGCTAAGTGTGTACAAGAAAAGAAAAACTTTGTGGGAATGGATGTTTTGATATTGTTAAGTCTGTAACATGTCTTTGTGCATTTCATTCAGATATCATCAAGTGTACTAATGTTATGGCTTGTGATCCAGCAGGGCGTTCATGGTCTTGGTGTACAGTATGAATCTGTTACTGTGTTTTCTATGTTTACAGTGTGTGTTTTTGGTAACTGTTTCACCGCATTCTTAAATTTCACACATGTTGATGTTAACCATGTTCCATCTCATTCCTCATTACGGCCCATGAAATTCACAAAGCTTGTGGCCATTTCTGTTACGTTACAAAGAATGATATATGGCTCCAATGTATCCCCATATATCTTAAAGATCACTCAAAACATCATTTAGTTTCTTTATGATAAAATCTTTATAGATAACATAGTAATTGGCTTAAGCATTCCTACAAAGGAAGGGACTGGAGGAAAAGAAACGCTAATCACACAGTGTGACAGAAAGCCGGGTGCAGCTAAAGACATTTCAGCTTCGTAATATTCCCAGATGTTTCAGCAGAGCACATCTGTCTGTCTCTGTGTTCCCATCTCTGTCAGTCTGTCAGTAATGTGAATGTCAGGTGGTGGTGCACAGCACAGGAGCGTGTGTGTTCAGCGTGTGTGGTGGTTGTGGCTGTATGGTGTCAGATTTGCAAGCTGTAAGATGGAGGTCGCAGCCTTAGTGCTTAGCCCTCTTGTTGTCATGGTTACAGGCTGGCCTTCGCACTCTGCATGATATTGGGCCCGAAATTCGCCGAGCGATATCATGTGATCTGCAGGATGACGAACTAGTAGACTTTATTCCAGAGGAAGACGAGGAAATTTATAGGGTAACTGATTTAAATTTACACAAAGGGGAATGTTTGATGCAAAGTTTAGACTTGTGCTAACGAATAATGTTTTTTTCTTGGTGGCGTACCCACAGAAAAGAAGGAAATGTACAGACAGAGCAAAGAGCTAAATCTGAAAATTTACTTGTTAAATATGCATATTAGAGCCTGTTTAATAGGGCGTTACATTTATTAAGTTTATGTTTTTCCTCCATTTCAGTTCCAACATACTAAAAGTAGCTGTCATTATTCTCACTTGTCATACCATGAACCAGCTTCTACCCTTGATTTTGCTCATATGATTTCTGAAACAAACTTGCTCTCAGACTTAACATCATTAGCACTTGTGAGGCTGTTTTGCCCGTGTTTAAACCTCTGGTGGTTTTACCTTGAGTATTGCTTCACAGCGAAACGGCGGACTTTTTGGGAATCACCTCATGAATGGTGGTCATCGGCGGTCCAATGGGCATCAGACCAACGCCACCCAGCGCCCTCTGCAGGTGCAGCCCCCCCCTCACTACGCTCACATGGAGCAACCAGTGGGGCGACTATCTCGGGCCAACGCAATGTCCCACCCCAACCACCACCATCACCACCACCACCATCACCACCGCCACCACAACTCCTACGGGAAATCTCCCAAATCCACCAACATCAACCTCAACAATGCCAACGTGTCCAGTTTGCCCAACGGAGGACACCATCGCTACTACGAACATGCCCCTCCCAATGGCTATCCAGGACTACGCAGCACGTACTACGACTACGACAAGCCGCGGACACCGCAGGGTCAAAGGTATCCAAACTGATCGAAATTTAACTAAAACACCTCACTGAAATGCACAATCCAATCTGATTCTCCCTCTGTTGTGTCCTCTACCTCTCAGAGTACTTTCTTTGATGGTGTCTTGTTCCTATAGTTTGTCAGGTGTTCAAATTAAATGTGACCTAAAAATTTAAAGTAACATAAAGATTTTTTCAGTATAGATTAGAACCATTTAAACTGTTTCAGAGAAAAAAAAACTCTTCTGTCTTAAGTTTTTCCTGGCTTTTGCTTTGCTATTAACAGCAAGGTTTTCACTAGTAGTTACATAGTTAACTAAAGCCAGAAAATAGTTACTTAAACTCCAGCAGTAGTTTGTGAAGTGTTTTATATCCCACTTTAGGACTTTTTGTGTGCTTACTTGTCATTGAGCTCACCATTATTAGCACAACAGAGGTTTGTTGAAAGAAATAAACCTGTAAACATTCACTAAGGCTTGGAGTGGACTGATAGTGACACCCAGGGTTCATCGCAATGGAGGGATTACGTTTTCGACTTACATGAACTGGTTGGTTATTTCATTACTTACGTGTTCCTGTAATTGTTATCATATACTTCAGGGCTTTTTGATAAACAAGATGTTCCACTAAAGGTTACAGAGGTGGGCCACAGACCCCAGAGGACTGAATCAAGTGATGTAGTAATGACTTTACGTTGTTTAACTTTTGGCCCTGGACACTTTCTTGCTTATTTCATGGTATTTTATCTTTAGTTATCTGATAGTATATATGTCTGAAGAAATGATTACATTAAGTTATTGCAGGAACAAGACAACCAGGGGATATTATCCACACCAGAAAGTATCTTTCCCTCAGGCAGATTCTCAACAGCCCTTCCACAAACCTTCACAGTGAACCCTCCCTTCCATGATTACCCATATTCATCCTGACAGTTAATTTCATATATGATCAACAGAACACTCATTTTCTGATTTCCCATGTTCTACTCAGCCAGCTGCTCCAGTGCTGGAGCAATTTCTCTAACATAAATTTATTTACACAATAATCCTTATCCTAAGAATAGAAAGGTAGTTGTCATCCAACACCAGAACTGTCATATCCCATCACACTCTTCCTCATACACATATATGACCATACCGTATATGTTTCATATACTGGGTGATATATATGTTACTCTTTGTCCACCCTGTCCTCTGTGCCCTCTCCTCCCGTTCTCCTTAATTAAAATGCTCTTTCTCAACCATCCCTCTGCTTTCTTGGACAGAAGGCGCTACTATGAGACCTATGTTAGGTATGTTGTTTTTCTAGGTTTGGTTTCAGCTATATGCATCAGCAACAGAAGAACTATTTTTGTTCGTTTCTGTTTTTATGCCTCTGAACGGTTGCATCCTTGCTAAGTCCACAATATGTGCTATATGTTGGCCAGTTATTTGTCTGGTTATCATCCATCTCTGTTATAACACAGTTGTTTTAATGTTTTAAGGAAAAAGTTGCCAGTATATAGGTCATTTCATTCTGAATTGTGTAGCCCTTTTGGTGTGTGTTTGTTTAAAGATCCATTTGAAGTTTATGTGACCTTACAAAAGCTTACAAATGTACTTCCTCAACTTGTTTAGCACTTAGTTTAATTGCTTTGGCACTTCTGTAAAGCCTCACATGGCACTCCATTTATGTTTAAGTTCTTTGAAATTTGCCTCAAACATCAACAATACCAGTTAATTTAACAGTAAATTAATAATCAGCATTATTTCAGACCCAAACACACAATCCATCATTTTAAAAAATTAGAACTATATTTTCTTTTGCATTAATTTAATTTTTCACAAAAACTAGTCATTATTTTTCTTTGCATTAAAAAGTAAAAACTCACTATGTAACTGACACATTATAGTCTTCAGAATTGATATTTATGAAAATAGATTTTATTTCCCATCAGAAATTGTAAATTATTTCACAAGGACTAAAAATTATTGTTATGAATTTTTCTGGAACAAACTGCTGAAAATAATATGTTTATAAGTTGAGTAAAATGTGAAAAACAGTCAAAAGTTTGGTTCTAGAGCACAACAAGAATTATTAGCTGCAAAGCAGGCGGAATTTGCAAGGTCACACAACCATAATAGAAATGTTCATATGATTATTTTAAAGAAAATCAATAACATAAAATGCTGAACCAGTTCAACTGGCATGGAGTAACCTATACTGGTGGCAGCTGCCCTGCCTTTAGCGTGCATTAAAGTTATGCGCTTGCTTTGAACATGGACCAGATGCTTGAATATTTTCAAAACCTATCTGTGACTACAGTTTTATCTCTGAGCCCCAACACTGTCCTATACTTTCATAATTATTCGACGTAAATAGATTTTGTTTGTTTATTTTTCACATTTAATCTAATGGTGGATGCAATTATTGAATCACAGAAATGTCATGTATAAACCACAATAGCTGCCTGCTGTCTTGGTCTGGCTGTCGTAAATATTTAGAGGAATATTCACTTGCATTGCTGCCCCTGGAGGCTTGTGTCTGCATGGCAGTGCATGGCCCCTCTTTAGTAACAGCCCTGAATATCAGCTGTCTCCACACAGTAACCCCCTGGTTTTCTGACTGTCCCTCAGGTCCCAAAGAGGGGACGGCCGCCACCCCACCATCCGCAGGGAGGAGGAGTTTGATGAAGACCGCCTTTCTGGGGAATATTTCAGTGGGGAGGAGTTTTACGAGGAGGACAGCATGCTGTCAGGGGACAGGTATTTCTCCTTATGGTGCTGTACCCCGAATGTGGCTGTGGCTCTGCCAGCGCATTGCTAGTTTGATCCAGCTGCATGTCCAGGTGTCTTAGGGTGACACGTTAACCCCCGGTTGCCTACAATGCAGCTTCAAATGGGGAACAGTGCTCTGTGTCCTTCTTGTATCGGACCCATGCCCGGATTAGTGTGAGGTTTTCCTAAAGAAGGGCATCCATCGTAAAAAGTCCTGCCAAACCTAACAAGCAAATCAAGGCTGATCCAAAGATCCAAAAGGGAACAACAAGGTGTTTTACCCTGATTACAGATTTTAGGGATGCTGTGTGCTGATCAGCACAGCTTTCCCCCTCTTTGTGTGTGTGTTTGTGTGTGAGAGGGAATGTATATTTATAATGTTTGTTTTTATTCAAACACTGAAGCACTTTGTACTTGTTTGTTTTGAGAGTGCCATACAAATTAAGTTATTAATATGACTTATTCATATTCACAGGTACCAGACCAGTGACACAGAGTATGAGACTCCTAAAGGCTACCACCACCCTGACAGTTACTATGAAGACGACGAGCAGCCTCTCTACCGCGACTCACGCCGATCACCAAAGAGAAGGCTGCTTCCTGCCACACCTCAAGGTATCCACTCACAAAGTTCTTCCATTGCTTTGATTTTTTATTGACTGCCACTTTCAATATAAAACAATCAAAGGCAATCCAGGGTTCCTTTGAAAGATACTGTAAATTATCTCCCAAAAATACCCCCAAAAAAAAGGTTACTTCTCCCAATAATGCAGTTCTTGTAAATGAGTTTAGAAAGATTTGCAGGAGCTGGGGCCGGTTCTGAAAGTTGATTAAATGCCATGAGAGCACTAGTCAAACAAACAATTAAACAAAATGTTATCAAAGTTTTCACATATTGCCACTAATGTGTCTTGCATGACTTCTATCACTGGTACACTCTTTGCTTGCTCAGGTCACAGAAGGCCATCCTTCAACTTTGAGTGTCTGCGCAGACAAAGTAGCCAGGACGAGCTTCCACATCAGCGTACCGCTCTGCCGCTGCACCTCATGCAGCATCAGGTGAGTCAGACCAGCTTAGGAATGCAACATTGTGTCACATTTCCTGGTTTGTTTGGCTGTCCTGAACATACATGGTTAGCATAGAGGAGAAATACTGTCATAAAATAGATTAAATAAGTGCAAAATGTGAATAAGGGTATTTTTTTATTCATTCCTGACTCTCTTCAGGTTATGGCTGTAGCAGGCCTGGACTCCAGCAGAGCCCACCGCCTCTCCCCGACCCGCTCCACCCGCTCCTGGGCCACACCTCCTGCCACTCCAGCCAGCAAAGACCAGTCACCGTACTACACCCCTCTCATCCGCGTGGACCGACCCCACAGGGAGAGCATCGTTGGCAGCCAAGTGTCTGTGCGCAAGAGCTCCTGGTACACCGACGATCCCGAGTTCTCCCAGAGGACCTACTCACCCGTCCACCTGCAGGTGCCGCCTGAGTACCACAACCAGTACCACCAGAAGAGAGGCAGCGCAACCAGCCTCGTGGAAGCGGTGAGTTCCACACGACAGGATCCCACTCAGTTTTTGGAGAAGGCACACAGAAAATGAGAAACCCTAAAATAACACTTTTTCCTGAAATTCTGTACTGCAGGTTTTGATTTCTGAGGGACTCGGGAGGTACGCTAAGGATCCCAAGTTTGTCGCTGCCACAAAGCACGAGATAGCGGATGCTTGTGAGATGACAATAGACGAGATGGAGAGTGCGGCCAGCCACCTGCTGAATGGAGGGATGGCCCCGGGTATCAATGGGGTCAATGTCTTTCCCCTTCTAACTCAGAGGGACTATGATCTGCAGGACACTGGAGCCAGCTACAGTGACGAGGAGCCAGAGACAGAACCCAGGGCTCCTTACGAGGAGGACCTGGCAGACGAGATGATCTGCATCACGACTTTATAGCAGTGGCTGGAGAAAATCTGAAGATCAGACCCTTGACAGACTTCCAATCGAGAACATTTAAAAAAAGAAATGCATTCATTGGCTCTGACCAAAAAAAGTGCCTTTAACACTGAAGGGAAAGGCATACAGAAGAGAGACACACCATAGCAGTCCCATTCTTTTATTGTTCTTCACCTGCCAGCAAAGGAGGTCCCAGCACAGAGCCAGCGCCTGTCCCTGCTGAGCACAGAGGGACTGACTTGACCCTCCAAAGGTCTCAACCTAGAGGTGACATGAAAGTACAGCCTGCAGCCAGTCAAAGATGAGGACATTGATACCAGTGAAAGAGATGGACCAGCTGGCAAAGGTGTGAGATACTCTTTAGGGTGGGTCTCTTAGGGTGATGACAATCAGATGTATGATGTCATTACCTCAGTCACTTTATTAAGGTTTTGCATATCATGCAAGTTTTCAATGCAAGCATAGAGAAGCATATCTTGTCCTGTAGTTGTTAGAAAAACTTAATCCCTTTGTTGTTAGAGCAGGCTGTTTAAAGATTGCTAAGGGTGAATGAAAACATGAGGAGCATCTATAGTCATACCAGATTATGCAGGCACTAACTGTCCTACTTTTAGCATCACTCAACATGAGATGTGTACTTTTGAAGCAACAAAAGCATTTGTGACAAATGCTCTAGCAGGCAGGTTATTTTAAAATTTTAGAATAGCCTGATTAATATTTCCTAGTTGATATGCTGTAAATTGTATAATATTAACAGGAGAAACTTTGTAAAGAGATATTCTATATTTTGTAATTATGTATCATTTAAAAGATCAGCAATATAAACCCCATGTGACTCCTGTTAGCAGACTTGCATTATTTTAGGAGGGACACTTCTCTGACATTTATTTGCCTTTTATGTTTTGCTGATGTGTGCTCTTTATTTTGCCTATGAAAACAACATTTTAGAGATTCTGATATTGTGACTGATCCGCACAAGATATGCAAATGAGCTTGATTTCTAAGCAGAGGGGTGCGCGTGTTGGTTCATGACACTTACACCTGGTGGATGAGGCTGAAACCCCTTTAAAGAAGCACCTTTAGCAGACCTCAAGCATTCAGTGCTGAAACTTTAACCAGATCTGGTGAACACATTAGTTTGCGTATGTTGTGCTGGACGTGGACAGGCGGGCATGTCATGCATTAACACTGCTGCTTATTTCTTTCTTTTATGTTTGCTTCTGCGTCAAACCTAGGTTTTGTCGGCCCCCCGACTGAAATGCCTTTTCGCTGCTGAAAGAGCTAAAAATGACAGTTGGTAGTAACAGGAATAAGCTGATGTTTGTCAAAGTTTGGCTGGGATTTTTCGTGTCGTACTCTTTGCTGATTATGGACTACGTTAAACATTTGGACTTCACAGTCACACCTTGTGACTTTGAGCGTGCAGTAACACCTACCGGCTCCCAAAGGTTGTGTTCATGATAGAGGGTGTCCTGACGTAAGGATTATTGAGAGAGGCGAAGCAATATTACCCCCCCCAGCCCCTTTCTCTCTCAGCCTGGTTCTTGCATACGTTATACCTCGTTAGACGACGGTGACAACATATCATTGTCTCAACTTATCTGTTTGCACAGTGAGTCTGCGGAAGAGTTGTAGGGTCAGGCCTGGACTTGTTTTTTATTCTAATAGCATGGAGGTGGGAAATAAATTCCCATGATGCATAACAATGGAGCAACTAAAACCAGGAAGACAACAAAATGTCTTTATTTTTTCGGTTATTATTCATTAATCCATCTCATAAGTATACTGGACTAAGTAAACTGAGGGGTTCTTTTTCAGGCATTAGGTAGAGTTCAAATGACCAGAGAATATTTGAAGTTATTGTGATTTGTTCTTCATGAGTGTTTGATTTGTAGGTGAGTACGTCCCGTACTCTAATTCAACCGAATACTGTCATGAAAATGTAGGTTTTCCACTTTGCGTGCACACTGAAAGGGCTCTTTGAATTGTTTGTGAGTTTAAAAAAATGTGTTGTAGTCCTTTTGTTGATAACTGTCATATGAAAGGACCAATGCACATAAATGGCACATTGTACTATTCGTAGCAATTACAGTACTGATGACCTGAAGATATGCATTATTTTGTAAACACTTTTAAAAGTTGTGTTATACTAAAGATAAAAAGAACTTACTTTTACCTCATGTCAGGGATTCCTGAAAAAAAAGAGAAAACGATTTGGTTCAGTCTTTACCAATGGTATTTAAATATTAGCACATAGCTGTTTGTCTTTGCACAAGTAAATGTATAGTGCTTTTGTTTCTCCTTTTTCTAAACTGATTTGTGTATTAAGGTGAGACAATTTTGTACTTTTTGTGACTGTGTGTATGGTTTAGTGGACTCTGTATCTGTCATTGACACCTCACCTTTCAATGCTGGGAATGAAAGAGTTTAAAAATATTTTCAAGGTGCACTGTTCCTCTGTTTTGCAGGTTGGGGGAAAAAATAAAATGGCTAAGTACCAGTTTACAGAGAAACAAAAACTCATTTAGACATTTCTGTTAGTTTTCTTCATCTTGTTATGATTATTATTACTATTACAACTATTAATGTTCAGAAAGCTGTATTAAAATAGAAGATATTGTAAAATATGTACAAACATATGGGAAGACCCATGGTAATGTTCTCTACTTGAAAGTCTTGATATTTGCTCCTTAATGTTTTTATTTGGTAAACATAATTTCTCTTAGTAGCAGATGCTTTAATATATATAACCATCTAGATTTTGTATCAATCCATTTTTTGTATTTTTAATTTTATTTTGGCCTTGACTTTAATTGACTCAATACTGATATTTTGTTTTCTATCGATCATCATTGAATAAACTTATGCTGAATTACTCCTATTGTTTGTGTTCCATAGCAAAAAACGGCTGCCTTCTGTTGTTAAGACATCTTTGTTAACTATCCCAAGTCCAAGGTAAATATGAGGATGTATGCATAACGTGAGACACAGCAGATTTTGAAACAGATTTTATTGTCATGATGTTTCATAGTTGTTTAAGTTAAGTTGGGCTTAATCAGACTTTGCCACATTTCAGCTTGGAGAGACTTTGTTTGTAATCTCCACAGTAGTGGCTGTCTCTGATGCATCGTCCTCATCCCACGGCTCTTTCCCACAAAGAAGGAAGGGCACAGCATATTTACGGAACTGAAACAAATTGAAGACAAAAAGTCTTAAACACAAAAAAAAGGGAAATTGAAAGAGAAAAATGTTTTGGATTCACAGACCAGAGGATGATGATGACGATTAACAGAAAAAAACAAGCTGAATCAGAATTCTTACAATAATGTTGATCTCAGTTTTATAAAAAATATCTGAATTCATCAGCATATAAATAATCAATCCCCTTATAATTACTTTAAACGGAAAGGCATTATTTACAACACTTCTCATAGAAAACTTGGTGGATTTGATAAATCAACTAACACAGCTGTTAAAGACACTTTTGTTTTTTAGTTGTTTTCCATTCAATTGTAGTTAAGAGGTATGTTCACATTTATAGAAAAGTGAAATGTCCCCTGGAATACTTCTGTTCCCATGAGTACCAAGTGTGTGTTCACTGTGGTTTTAACATCACTAGGGGGTGCTGCTGTGACACCCAAAAATGAGTACTTTGGAGCTAATTCATAATCCCTTAACAATACAGATTCAGCCAATAGAATAGCTATGGTGTGATGTTGGGGCACCTGTTTGTTGAGGTAGATGTAGATGATGGGATTGTACACGGTGCTGCTTTTGGCCAGGTAAACGGGCACCGTGCCCACCAGTGGATGGATCTTCACATCAGGGTTAGAAACCACGAGCATGGCCAGGCCAGCGTAAGGCAGCCAGCTGATCAGGAATGTCAGGACCATCAGAATCACCATGGATGCCACCTTCATCTCCCCTTTAGCGACAGCTCCGCCTTGCACAGAGGCCATCTTTGATACCTGGAAAACAGGATGCCGTGAGAGGAGCAAAAAGTTTCTCTATTCTTTCATCTTGAGCAGACACATGATCAAAGATGAGCTCTAAGAATTAAAAAGGAAAGTGTGGGCAGATTAATAAAAAAAGAATATAAGAATAACATTTTTAAATATAAGTGTTTGGGAATGAGACATAGAGTAAATGTATCTAGATCAGGAGAACCCAGGAGATAGAAAGTATTATATACACAAGTAATTTTAGTGCTTGTCCAAAGTAGTTTAATGAAGTGACAGCATGTTAATGTCATATCTTTTAATTACACGAATGAAAATAAATGCAATATTTTTATTCTTATTTTACACCAAGCCCCCAATATTTGACAAACTGGTTTGCAGATTCAACTATCTTTAAGTTTTTAATATATTATTCATGTGGTTCTGAGGACTGTAAAGTAAAAATGTGGGGATCAATTAAAGGGGGAAAGAAAAGGTGTTGCTCTTCACTTTTTTACATTGATACAAATGGGAAATACTAAATGATCAAATCCATTTTACCTTATAATTTCTGTTACATTTAGTGACTGTATTTCAAACTGCTGTGACATGTTGTCCTACATGAGATTGATATATTCTTAACTGCACAACCTTAATCAGAAGTACATAAATTGAAAGCCGTGTACTGATTAAAGTGTCATTATTTTATTTGCTGGTGGCCAACATCTCACCTTGTGTAGTGTCCACATCAGTTTTGTGTAGGAGGCCAGGATCAAAGCAAAGGGAAGAGCGAAGCACACAGCAAAATAAGCCACGATGTAGGAGACGTTATGGGGCTCTGTGTTGTGCCAGTCTGGGGCACAAGATGTCCCAACACCTTCCAGCTCATATCTGCCCCATCCAAAGAGAGGGGGTAGGTTCCAGGCAAGAGACCAAAGCCATGACAAAGCAATACCTCCCACTGCATGTTTCTTTTGGAAACTTATTTGTCCCAGAGGCTTGCACACCACAAACATCCGCTCCACTGCAATCAGAGCAACTGTGCACAAAGATGTGATGCCTGCAAAATGGAAAGCACTTACATTTAAAATGTAAAATATTGATCCTTGCAAGATAATTAAATGTCAATTTTTCGTAATATAAACAAGGAAATTATCCATAAGCAGTTTTGAACAGGTTGTGCTAGGTTGTTTTAGTTAGAAATGAAGTATCTTAACCTTTAAAATGTTGCATTTTGTAAATGAATTCACAATAAAAATGTGTAGTCACAAAACTATTTCACCTCCACTGTGGTCTTCTGTTCACTCACCGCACAACGACACGGCAAAGCCCTCCATCACACAGCCTGTTCTGCCCAGAGAAAAGTACCCCTGGGCATTATTGACCACGGACAGCACTCCTCCGGTCATGGCTGTGCCCAGATCGGCCACGGCCATGTTCACCAGAGCGTAGTTGAGCGGCTGCCTCAGCTGCTTGTGCATGAGGGACACAATGATCACTGTAGCGTTGAGTATGATGGCTGGAACGGTGAAAACAGCCATGATGATGGAGAGTATGATGAAGCCAGTGCGTGAGAGAGGGGGCTCCCCCTCTGGACTCACGTAGAAGGAAGCATTTGGTGAAATTTCAGGAGGTTCCATGGATGCAAAGCTGGAAAAAGTAGTCCAGTGCATCATCTACTTCTTGAGGTAGTGCTATTGAATGTTCAGTATGTCACTTCTTGAGTGGGATGGGTGAGATTAGACACCTAGATTAAATCCTTTGGATCTGGAATTAACAAAGACTAATTCCTCCAAATGATCAGCCTTGATCCCTCACCTTTTGCTTGATTGTAAAGAGACTTAACCAGGATGAAAATCCTTGCTGCTATCAGCTCGCTGAGCCCCCAAACTCCCTTTCCAGGAATACAGTGGGGAGGTGTGTGGGGGAGCAAAAGTAGCAGTTAAAGTAAAAAGTCATGATGGCTTCGCTTAAAATGAATTATTATACAAAATATTCACCCTCCATTCATCTTCTATATCTGCTTAATCCAATTCAGGGTCACCTGGGGGGCAGGATGCAGGGCAAAGCCTGGACAGGTCATCTGGTTGGTCAGTCTATCATATCGTCACACAGACAGACAAACAAATGATCACACTGACACTTACTATTAAGGTCATTTTAGGGCCAACAGTTCACCTAGCATGCATCTTCTTGGACAGTGGGAGGGGGCTGTAGTACCCAGAGAGAACCAGCAAAGGCAAACGCCAGACAGAGAGGCCCAGCCGGGATTCAGTCCTGGAGTCTTCATGCTGGGAGGTGACTAAGTGAGCAACCAACTGCTGTACAGTTCAATGGTATGAGACAGACAGCTGATATCAATGTGGAAAAATAAAGCAGTGAACAGTGGCACGCTCTAATTTTAATTCTCTATTTGATCTTTATCAGCAGACAAATTTTACATCCCTAATTTTCTACAATATGTGACAGCTAGGACCTCCAAAAACAAAACAAAAAATCCCCTTTGCAAAGCTCTATCTAACTCTCACCGAGTAACTGCATAAGGATCTTGTGACATGCAGTCGGAAATGAGGAAACTAATTCTGGTGAGGGTTGGAAAACAGGATCAAATCAGTTTAAATAAATCACTTAATTATTAACTTTATGTCAATCGTAATTTCTGCTTTCCATCCATTTGACTGATGCACCGCCTCTGAATTATGTTCAAGTCATAAGATTGTAATGGGTACTAAATACTTGATAAGTTTACGCTGTTTTTTACATATGGATTCATGTTAAACTACTAATAACAGAATTCTTGTTCAACAATAAATTGCAATATCTATTCAGACCATTACAACAACAAGGAGCCTGATTGAATCCAGCTTTATACTTAAGACTGAAAAACAAAAGAACGCAGACTGAACTGTTTGTTGCTATTTGGCTTCATGAAACAAAGTGAACCCAAAGTCACTATGCTATACTATAAAGTCCTTACCAAATGCATCATGGTGCACGATTACCTACTGGATTCAGACAATAAAGATGTGTAAAAAATGACTTCCAATAAGTGACTTAGATTTTCAATAGAACAGTTATTGAAACACATTCAGACTTCAGAGCTTTTGGGGATTCTTCACTATGATGAGAACTGGGTTTACCAAAGTATTTGTGGTGTTTCAGTTTGGTGAGGTCATTCAGTCATGTAAGCAGCGAGTTTTTAGTGGAAGTCGTGTCAACTGAGTAATCAGCAGATGCTGAAGAAGCGAGGTGAGGTTAAGCCCACAGAATTATCATAGACCAAGACAAGAGGTGTCCGATGTTTCACCTTCTAAGAGGTTTACATTCAATCAAGTCAAGATGCAGATTACGAGTGTTTGTGTTGAAGGTTTGGCGCAGTCTGACAATTCCAGACTGTCTGGTTCAGAATGTAAAGATTTGGTTTGGGTAACAATTCAAAGACTTTCTCCCAATGTTTTCCTTTTTCTTTTGGAATCACAACTCAAGTAAAGGGTCTAAATTGAATATGTGTGTATATTTATCTGGTGTTATTGACACCTCACAATGATCTGTGAACAAGTATATAAGAAATCTTACCCAAATTAACGTTACAAAGTTAATGTTTCTCCCTGAAATCACTGTTTGAAAAATGAGGAGCTTTTTTTTATGTCAAAGGTGGTCTGGGCGCGACTTCAAAAACTCATTCACACCATACCATCATGTAAGCCTGAGGGGGAAAGTCTTGTTGTTTTGAACACAGAAAAACTTGTGTTGAAACAAATATAAATATCCAGAAATAATTTAAACAAATTATATTAATTGGGAGTTACATAAGCATATTATATCTATTGTTAAGTTGCAGTTTTTTATTATTACTAACTTATCGTACTTGTGGTTCAATAACGACAAAACATTGTTGAAGGTTGCAACAGGAAATAAAAATTAAAGGAGTTGTCCAAAGATTAAAACTGAATGGAGAAAAAAAAGAAAAATGCATCTGAGATATATAACCAGATATAAAAACCACCAGGAAAGATTTAATAGTCTTGAGGTATTTCTTTTCTTCTAGAAAATAGAGCAATAAGAGCAGTCTAAGACTGCAGGTTCCATAAACCCCCTGACTCCTCAGACCTCCCAGTAAACACCTCCGAGCACATTCTTAGGACTTTGAAGATTAAATCAATTGATGACCACAAAGCAGCAGAGAGCCATAAAAAGATTACAAAGCCCTTTAAAGTAGTTGTTTCCAGTGGGAAGCACAAGTTAACTAAAACAGTGACAGTTTAATTGAGGACAGAAAGATCGAGAAAAGGTTTTGAGGGATCTGCTTGTCTGATTACTGGAAACAGGACATTTACGTGGGTTAGTGAACTCTGGATTGAGGCCGAATCAAAACACTGAAACAACACCTGCATATTAAGAAGAAGCTTTCCATCCTGACCACAAACTTTACAATCAGGCTTAAAGTGAATTTCTTATGATGTATTTTGGAAACAAAAAAAGCCCTATTGACTGTAGCGAATATATCATTTTTAATTTGAAGTGAAATATAACTGTTCAGAGAAAGAGAACACAACATTGACAGCCCTGTTAAACAGTGGGCAGTCGGCCCGTGGGCCTGCACTGCAGCAAGCAGCACCTAGATCTATTAGGGTGAAGAGAAAAACACAATGACTCCTGTCATAGGATTCAGATCCTGAACACATCTCAAAAGCCACATTAGCTTACCTAAACAGATAAAGTTACTCTGGCCCTAATGGAACAAAGTCAAGCTTGTGTTAGATCCAGGATGTGTGCGTTATGGTCAAGTTCAGTACCATGGAGAGTACCCATCGTCCACAAATGTGATACCTCGATTGGGTCTTTTTTCAAGATAAAAATCAGCCATAACAGATCATTGAAATGCAATTGAGAAATCAATGCTTCCATTTTCACCTGAAAGTTGCATCATTTATTCATCAATTCTATTAGTTCGTTTGTTTGTTTTACTGTTTCTTGGAGAGTTCTTGCTCCACAACACCACTGGTTTAAGACATAATTACAGGAATGATCCAGTGATGGCTGCGTTGTGGGTTGATTGAGAGCCTGGCAGCAGCCCCCCTGCTGAGATATGGCGTGGCTCGCTCAAAGATACTTCAGCAGGAGTGGCGGTGCAGCCTTATCTAGACCACACCAATAAAACCGGAGGGTTCTCTTCGGTGTTGACGGAGGGGCTGCTTTTATGTGGCGTTATTTCGTTAATTAAAGCATCCTGGGCCGCCGGTCAGACGGGATGATATTGTCCGTCATCCAACATGCAAGCGCCTTATCGGCATGTCCCAGGCAATCCAGGGCCCTCACAACTTTGATGTACGATGCAATTACTAAACTAATAAAAGCCTCAAGTCGAAACAAGGTTCCTGCGGAGGTGAAGGCGGAGCAGGGTGGGGGGGGGGGGTGGAGGTGAAGGTGCCTTGACATCATTATCGGCTTCTCATCAGCGTTTACAGTGCAGGACGGTGGGGACATCTTCCGGTCTGATTCAATAACCGGCCACTAGACTTTTGTTTTCGTACACGATAAACTTTTGCTTCTTCCCCAGCCCTGCTGCAGAGCAGCAGCATTCTCCGGGGCTCCACGTGGAAAAGTTGCTGGTGGGTGACATGACGTCATCGGTCCAAATGATTAATTAGACCATTAGAGCTCGTCCAATCGTGGGGAAATGAAGAAAGTCAATGCAAGATTTTCCTCCGCGTCTTCTCGTTGGCTCGTATCTTCCTTTCGTTTTAATTCGTTTGTAGCTGCTATTTGTCACATGTGAGCGCGCAAGTCAAATCCAGATTATTTCAAAGGTTTTTTTCACCCCTTGTCCCTACATTCAGTGTGTTTCCGGCAGTGCGGATGCCTTCATCACATATCTGCAATCTCATTATCTCCATCACAGCCATTTTACTCAAGAATATCCCTTTAAAGGCATTTCATGTTTCTAATTTTAAGATTATTCATACAGGACTGTTATGTCATATGCTGCAGCACAGTTTGTCTTATTTAAAAAATCGTATATTGTCTTCTTAAAGCGTTTTTACCCGGTGGAGATGCAGTTGTAGTGACTGGAGACACATCAGCCTCTAGCACACACTGTGTACAGCGTCAGCAATAATGCAGCAACTTTACAACAGTGGTGTTTTCAGCCCACGTGGAGCATTTTTTTGCAGAAATATCTCATTCTGTATTTTTTTCCCTAATCTTTTGCTCAGTGGTCAACACACATGAGATCGTGCTCTGGTTAAACAAACAACGGAAACACTGAGCCCATGAACCGTGGACATCCTAAAATGATTTTTTTTTTCTGTTTTCTGAGCTCTCCAGTTGCAACAAAGAGAAGTGAATAGACGATTCCAGGTTGGGGGGAAAACATCGGAATTCCTGCACCATGTCAAATAAGGGGCTTTACAGGGAAGGCAGGGGGGAGCGGAGGATGGAGAGAGGCAGAGGGGCAATCCTCTCTCTCCTCCCTCACCCCCCTCCCCTTTCACACATGCATACAGTAGGGGACGTGCCCACGGTGCCACGGCATCTGGAGAAGTTGTACCGGTGGTCGAGCAGTCCTGCACAGAAGCGGGATTTTACGGAGCAGAGAAACACTGCTGAGGATGCGGGGGAACTGCAGGATGCTGCTCCCGCACATGTGCAGCAGCAGCTGCTTCCTTCCGCTCTGGATCTTCGTCGGCTTGAATGTGGTGGTGGAGGTGGCGGGGTCCCAGCAAGGGATCCCTCTCTCAGTGTGAGTGAGAATTACGCGGCTGCGCAACTTTATACGCAAACAAATCCATTGATTCGTTTTATTTGCTAAAGAAAGCCAATTTAGCCAGCAGAAATAAGGGAATAACGAGGGGACAGGTTTAGGACAGTAATAGTAAGGTGAAAGAAACATTAGGCCAAGAGAAATGAATGATTAGATTAACAGATGGTATAAAGTATGGCTTTGGCTTCTTTTTTTACGTCTTATTCTCATTTTTATTTTATTGGACAGAGGCTACTTCTGCTGGTGTTTTTTTATTTTTTTTATTTAGGCCGTACAAATAACTTTTAACTATAATAATGGTGACAACCAGCAAGAGAAAACACTTGCAGATGTTATCTGTGGACATGTGGGAAACAAATGAATCAAATCAATTGTTTTTAAAAAATTGTTACGGTTAACTGGACATCAGAGCTGTGACATAAAAAAACTATAGCTAAAGTTTCTTCAAATTCTTTACAATTAATGTTATCAGATGTTCTAAATGTATGGTTTGAAATTATAGTTAATTCGTGACACAGAGTTCCATAATTGGTTTCCCTTAAATTAAACTTTTTAGTAAGATGTTGATGGGATTTTTCTTTTCTTCACTGTATTTTTTAAATAGAAGTATACACAGAAAATAGACTGATATGTCTTATTTGCTGTCAGTCTTTTGTAATTGATATAAAGTGTTTAACTCAAATTAAAATAAGCATCTCAGAAGTTGCCTGCATTGTAAAAAAATGTCTTGTTGTTGGTAGGAAAGCTTATGGAGTGGAAGATCCAATTAAAGCTAAAAAGATGTTTAACTAAATACCTTTGCTAATCTAACCTCACACTTATGTCTGTGTGAGCCTTTATACACTCAAGTGGGGAGATAAGAAAAAACCTTTAAATGTTGACCAATATTTTCCAGAAGACCTTATTTAATCTTAAATCTAAAAGAAAATTCATGTCAAATACAATTTTTTTAAAATCACATTTGAGGAATCACTTTTTCTGATAATGTTAGAAATAATTTGGAAGAACCCTGCTGAGTGTTTCTGCTGAAAACGCTTTTTTGCAAGAAAAAAAATCTTATTTTTTAGGATACTGAAAGGCATTATTTCACTCCATATATTGGTGTGATGTGCACAAATTCCATTGTCCATCAGGCCATTTTCCTGAGAAAAAAATCAAATTTTGAGATTCACACAAAGTTTTACAAGTAATAGTTACATTTAAAAAAAGCATTTACAAATCAAGAGAAGAAGCCCCAGTCATTTGTCATGTGGCGGTCAGGGTCAGAGCCATGTTGGCCGATTGCATCAGTCAGGGTCTCTACATCAGGACCAGTCACAGAGTAGACAATAACAACCGCTTACGCCAACAGCAAGAAATGATATAAATTATTCTTATTATCTTCTTTAATTCAACGCCTTACCCTGTGGATTTCTGGGTTCATGTGTATTTTCCTCTGTCATTTTGGGACTGATGGCTCATTTGAATTTTTCCCTGTCTTGTCTCTTTTATTTTTTCCAGCGTGAAGCTTTGGGCCTCCGCATTTGGTGGAGAAATTAAATCAATTTCAGCAAAATATTCTGGATCTCAGCTCCTGCAAAAGGTACTTTTTTGGGTTCACTTCCGTGTGAACACAAATGTTCTTTTGTCTGATGGTCATGTGATTGAAGCCAGCGTGTGCTGTAATGTTGCCTCTGTAATGGCTGCAGCGTCATCTGGTGTCACAGCTGAATGTGTTGTTCAAGAGAAGACTCAGGTGCATTTGAACTCTGTATGTGTGTGAGTGTGTGGAACCGGGGGTGGGGGTGGGTTGTGTGTGTGTGTGTGTGCATGTGTGTGTGTGTGTACTTACATGGTCCATTAACCACCACTCTGATTCCTCTCTCATCTCATCTCTCTGGTGAACTCTCAGGAGTCAAGAACATCAACCTCTGGATCTGAATGCGACAAGGAGACAAATTGAATAATGTGGCTGAGTGTGAGAGTGTGTAAATGTGTGTGTATTGTTTGGTGAGGGGATCTGAGGATGATGTGGTGCACAAGTGAACTCAACAGAGAATGAGCAATGATCCAGAGAAGTGGATGTGGCTCTCTGACCACCTGGTGGCAGAGGTGTGCTCCGTATTCACAGGCCTGAGACTTAAAAAGGTGCAGAGTACAGTCATGTTGATGAATGGTGAACTGTCCATTTCACTTAAATGGGACCAGACGAGAGACTGTGAAGTAAACATCTGGAGGGGAGCCTCGGTATGAATGCTGAATAACCGCACCAGGCTGCAGAGAATTTGTTCAGTTACATGCACACAATAGGTGAAGTCCACACAAAAAAGTTATAGCACGACAGAGTCTATATTTTTTAAAAAGTAACTAAACTATAAGCATTCTAACATTGTCCAGGTAAATACGTTTTTACATGCGCTATTTTTGGTCCTTCACATTCACATCCTTTGGCATTTTGTATAATGTATAATGTGTTTAACAGCTTCACATTCGGTCTACAAACACTGACACAACAGTGTTTCTTTTTCTCTAACAAATAATAAGTGCATCAATATTTTCTAGATTTATCATCACATTTATTAAACTCTGCATGAACCTTTTACTGGCTTAATATTTCATTTATATTTCATATTAAGATGCATTTCAGACTAAATTATACCAGACAATAAATGCTCTGTAATTCATCAACAGTTTCTGCAAAAAGGAAGTTCATGCAGTGAAACAAAAAACATTTTCAAAGAAAAATCCCCTAGTTTTTCCATAGGAGTTAGGGAAGAAGTAAATAGATTTCCACATGAGGAGTTTAAAACTCTGCTGAATGTGTGTGAGTTTATACAAGGAAATAAACTGAAAGGAGCCCTTTCATCACTTGACGATAAAATGGACATACGACGAAACAAATGTACCATGTGAACAAAGTAGAACCTTCATTTCATGGTTAGTGTTTTCACACAGAAGGAAAATCTGTTTCCCACACAGAAGCAAATTCAAGTGAAAAGTTCACACAATTCATGTTCAGGTTTAGGCCAACAATATTCTTTAAGTACTTCATCAGTCCTTCCTTGAACAACTTTCTCTGACAAATTAAACATTTTCAAGAACATTCATGTTACTTTAGATCTGTTTAAGACCAGTGGGTAGAGACAGCTGATATTTAATTATATGACGTAATGTTATATAAAGCAGGATCTTACTTTTACGTGTTCCAGCCTTTTGTATTAACTTTGATCTTACATATATGTGGAATAACAGAACAAAGTCCATCCTAATAGAGAAGGAAGTCTTTCATCCTGTGAGGCACAACACTATATAAAAAATCTATAAGTTGCTCTTATTAATCTTGTGCTTTTGACAACCTTGCTGTTTTAGGAGCTGTGGTCCATCACAGCACCACGGGCCAACTCCAGTTCTGAGGCCGGTCCCCCAGTCAAAGGCAGCAGCAGGTTAGGCGCTAAGAGCTCAGCCGGCTGTCATGGAATGTGGGAGGAAGGTGGAACACCCAGAGGAAGTCCACGCAAATACGGGGAAAGTGTGCAAACGGCATTCAGAAAGCGGCTCATGGCTCAAAACCCAGGATCATCTTGCCCTGAGGTAACAGCTCCTTTAAGATATGAGTCAAGATCAAATGTGTATTCTGCAGTGAAGGGCTACACATCATCAGACATGCATTTAATCTGTGTACAAAAGCACATTTGCAATCTGCCCTGCAGATTTGTTCCTTTTTGTCTGTATGTAAGCACTTTGCTCGTGTTCCTGTTCATGGAGGCGTATGTGCAGAGGACTGTGCTGAGCCAGTCAGCACAAAGCGGTGAGCTGTGAGGGAACTGACGGGTCGTTAGGGGCTGGTCATTAAGACTGATCATTAGCTGCTTTTTATGGTGATTTTTTTTCCCACTATGATTTCTGGAAAACAGGAAAACACTGAAGATCCTTGGGCTCCCAGCAGTCCAGCGCTGTTCATTACTTGAATCAATAATTATGATCAGTGCTTTTTGATGGATGGAGCTTAACCTCCACTTGATGACTTGAGGGCTGTGAAGAAGGGGGATGGGGGTCCGGGCTGGGACTGGGGAGTCGGGGTGCTGGGGCGAGGAGGACAGGCGTGAAATGAACTGTTCTGCTCCACTGCTGGTCCACACACTTTCTTTCAGTAGGTAATTTGTCGCCTCATGTACTAGAGTGTGCGTGTATTTTTTTTGTTTTGTTTTGGTGCATATCCTGTCCATGCAGTGTTCGGGATTTGAATGATCCTATTGTTGGCTGTCTTTAATTTGGGATTAAATTATTGGAGGTGGTTATGACGTGGGTTGCCGGTTAGGATCACTTTTTTTCTTTTTTTTGTTGTTTTCATGTGTGCGCATGTGCACATGTGTTTGTGCATCTCTTTTATGCAGATTATGTAATGTTGTATTCCTCTAACCCTCGACGTGTTTTGTTCTAACACCCCTGTTCATCCAGCAAAATCAGCATTATATGTGGTGTAGTTCATTATCCAGAGTTGCCCATGCTTGACACGTTATTATCTTTCTCCTGTGCTTTAACTCCATTTCAATTACCCTCTTACCATGCATAGCCTTCACAACCTGTCCTGCCCCCCCTCATGGCCACCCAGCATGGTCATATCCATCCAATCACAGCGAGAGCCGCTGTGTGTGGAGCCAGTCACTGAGAGCAGATAACAACTATCAGTCATTCAGTGTTGCAGCAAGGATTTTATCTGCTGTTCATCAGATATTGGCTGCATTGCATCTTGTCAGCCAACATGTGAAGGCTTACAAGCCTTGTTTAACAATTACACACCCCTCTGGAGGAAACAGAGTGAAACAATAGAGTGCTGATATGTAATGGAGAACACACAGAAAGAGACCTCATTGTTTTTCTCTTTTTTGTCTAAATAAGTGAATATTAAAGGCACCATTCAGTGATGACCTCCGGGTTTTACAGCTGTCCCATTGGTCACTTTCTACCCTGGTTCTTTTCAGAAACGTAAAGAATTTGAAAAGTCCGTCAGGGTTGAAGAAATTGATGGCGTGAAACTGGTTAAAAACCTGGCTGTGAGGATGGAGGAAATGTTCCAGAAAAAAGCTGAGGCTACAAGGGTAGGTATATCACCTGGATTCTCTCATTTATTCATTACATAATTTATCTAATTTAGGGGACGGGAAGGAGGATTGTCTCAGAAAATGCAGAGTTAGACTGTGTGTGTCTGTGCTGCATGGGGACACCAACTGTGTGGGGACCAAATGGCTATCCCTATCAGTCACAAGAGATTTTTGAGGATTTTGGTTGGCATTTGAAATAGGTGATACCATATTAAATTATAGGCTTCACAGTAAAGATTAGCAAAACGGATTTTATACATCAACCAATATTAAGGATAGCACTGACAAAGAGGCTAGAGATTTTCATACTATCTTAAGCAGCTAGTCAATTCAATTTCTTTCACAGATGGATTTGATGGCAATTCAACATCTTGAATGATCTTATTATAACACTGACAGATTATTATTACACAACAATACGTAAGAAAGACCAATGTCCTTCCCAGCTATCCTGGGGGTGAAGTTATCTAAAGTGATATGAGAGGAGTAACATAGAGGGGAAGTCTAATTAAGCAATTGTTAAAGATATTATTTTACCAGTTATTTTTAAAAAATCAGTATCAGAACTTTTTTAGATGTATTCATATTCAACCTCAGCTACACTGATTTTAGAAGTCATCAAAACCCTTTAACAGCAGGAAACCACATACTCATTCTTTACCAGTTTGTTGAATTTGAATTATACATCAAGCAAATCTGCTTTTTTTACACCACTAAATCTGTTCCCGGGTACATCATCCAAGAGGAAACAGCTCTGACATCAGGCTGTGTGACGCACAGACAGACTGATAGACACTAAGGCATCTGCTGTGGTTTGACATTATGCAATCAAACTGATGTTAAGCCAGTTAGGGTGAGAGTAATTATACAGCTAATTCCCTTTCATTGACTCCACATCTGAGACAACATGCTAATTGAAGTGTTTTCATTTTTTGTTTTTATAAAGACAATGTTTAAATGAGAAAACACATCGGGATGAGATATAAATACAAAAGGCCTCATTTGTTGGTCAATTTGTAATTCAAAAATATAAAATATCCAGGCCAGATTTGGGCATAGGTGTTGTAAAATATCTCGCATTAGCTTCACAACAGCAGCCTATCTGCGACCTCCAAGCTTGGAACAATTTTATTGTTGTACATCTGCAGGGACTGCTGGGGAATGATAAGGTTTATCTCCCATGCGCCTGATCCCATGAGACCGATAAGTCATAACAATTAAGGGTGTAAATTACACTGACACAGAAATAATTTAATTCAATAAACTGGATTTTGTCAGATAAGGGGGCAGAGGCTTTCTCTTTTACTACATCCACGTAGCTTTAAAAAAAAAAAAAAAAAAGCCCAATGCGAGATCCATGCAAATCTGACAGCGTCATCATTTCAGTTGAAATTAAATTCAGTGCCTGAGAAATATGGTGTTACCCCGGCTGAGGTGGGACGGGTGACCGCCTCAAGGTACATTTTCTAGGAAGGAAAATAACGCTCAGGCCTACCTGAGGGTTCTCTGTCTAAATCAGAAGACATTACGTTCAGTTCGAGATGCCTTTATGCGCTCTCTGCTGACAACACAGGATCTGGCTCGCGGGGTCAACTGAATTTGGCCACAGCAGCTCAGCGGTTGGCGGAAAAAGCTCCAGATCTGTTTATGTAGCAGTTATTTCTGACGCATGTGACAGCTGTTAATTACCTGCTCGGCTCCGAGAGGCGAGAGAGCGGCTTCAGGTTTAGGTGGCATTTCCCCGGAAACACGGAGCCAAGCACATTTTTCCACAATCGGGAGGTTATTGCGTCTTTGGTGTGCGCCTCGGAAATAGTGCCTCAGCCTGGCGCCATCAATCATCCCACTGCTGCAGTCAACCAGAGGGCCCCACAATTTAGTGCGTTTCTTCCTTAAAGATAGCGCAACAGTATCCTTTATTTGATTTGATTTGATTTTATAAAACACATTTATGCATTCGAAATATAATGTAACCCTCCCGTATAGGCTATATCTGCAAACAGCATGGTGATACATAGCCTGTTTAAAGCAAAGACGCTCATTAAGAAAGTTGTAAATATTAGAATTATGTGTTCCAATAATTGCAGATATTTTTTTTTTTATTAGAGTGACGCATGTCACACAGATTGTAGCATGAGAAAAAGTCGACACTTCTAACCCGTTTTCCTCCTCTCAGCGGCTGGTGGAGGCAGCGGAGGAGGCGCACCACCAGCATGAGGAAAATCCTGACCTGCAGGTGAGGTTTGAGCAACTAGAAAAAGCTGGGAATAAATGGTTAAAAATGTGGTGTGACACCGAGTTGAATGATCTTAAGTTGGTCAGGGGGGGGGGGGGGGGTGCAGCTGCAAGGTGAGAGAAGGGTAATAGGGCCTGGAAGTTTTTAATTGCGTTGGCATCGTCCTTCCTTCACCCCCCAGGCCTGTCAGCGCGTTGATACATAATGTGTCTTTGATAAGCAACGCTGCACACACTGCATGCTCACTATCATAACTCATTTTGACTGATTTTTAGTGTAATCGTAGTTCAACATCTTCAACTTTCAAACAGGCCCTACAACTGAATAAACCTTCGACAACACAATGGAGATTAAGATCCAACGACTTCTGCATGCAGCGGTACAGGCTGAGCTGCAGGCTGGCACTGTCACGTATTCCACATTAAGATAAAACTGATTTTATCTATCAGGCTGTTATTGGCTCCGGTATGTACATAAGTGCAAAGGCAGGGGGGGGTTGGGGAGAAGTTTCGGCAGACTTGTAGAATTTCTGGGATAAATCTAGTTCTATCTCAGGATGTGCTCGTGTGGCCCTGTTAGGGACATTACTTAGCGGTTTTCATTGCGGATTTCCAGAGCGTGCTGAGCTTCCTCGCTCTCTGCAGAGGGAATGCAGTATTTCTGCTCTCCCCTTTCTGTGCGGCGGACAAAGATAAATTAAACTCTTTTGCGGAGCGCATTGTTTCACTTACATGGCTCTAGATTGGAAATCCACTCGAGCAACAACACACAGAAATAACGGCGGCACTTTGCAGTTAATGGAAGCATTTACATCACATGAATACGTTTAGTTCCCTTGTTTTGTGTTCCTTCCTTTGCTCTTCTTTTCGGCCATAACAAGACAAAAATATATTAAATTTAAAAAATAGGCTACTGTCTATAGGTACTAATAGTTTTAGTTACCTGCTGTGTGTATGTATACATACACATACATATGTATCTAAAAATGTTTTTACAATAGTTTTTACAATATCATCATCAAAACCTTTTGAACTGATACTTTTGAACAATAACTGTTTAATACTCCAGGACCCCATGCTCCATGCCATTATGCCATTTGTTTTTTAACTGAAGCTTTTGAGACATTTAAAGAGTCTATATTATTATAAATACCTTTATGAGCAATTGAATGAACAGATATATATTCTTTACCAAGCAATGAAAAGTTAGGAAACCGACACACATCATGAACTCTCTACAGGAATTTTATTTTCAAGGTTGTGTGGAAAGCAATAAGGAAAATTCAATATCCACATGTGATAATGATGTGATGTCATGATATCACTCCTTGTGAAACCATTAAGCCAACGGTGCCTGGTCTGACACCACACATTTCTCATGCACCATTTCACTGACCACAGCCAGATAAGCTGGCTGCTCTTATCTCAGCTGCTTCCTGACAGGGCAGCCAGACGTTTTGTACTGACCGGTCCGGAGCCCAGCCTCAGGTTCAAGGGTGCGTTAATCAGATCTTATGGTGCAAACTCAAACTTATACCTATTACTATTATGATTTGGTAATCATGATTGGTAATGGAAAGATTTTTTTGTTTTTGAAAAGATCTTCAGCAAATTTTGAAAGGCATACTCTTTTAAGATCATATATATTGTTAATAAATTAGATTAAAACTGTCCAAATTAACAGGTCCTTTGTATGTTCTCCTCTTAGAATCTTTTTTTTTCTCCTAAAAGTCTCTCAAGATAAAAGCAAGAGGCCTAACGTCCTGTTTTGTCTATTCCTAAAAAAAAATTTCAAGCATTAAAATGCTTTACATCCACATAACTAACTAACATATATTACACTGCAGATAAATTGATCTCTAAAAGGAATATTTTTATCTCTGATACGGATAATAAACAGTTTGGACAGATTCACTGCAATGCATTACTTTAAAATGCAAAGCTGGAAACATGAAAGTTATTTACACATTTTTACATAGGGCTTAATTAGAGCGATGAATCAAGGCCTGTTCTGCAGAATAAAGCCCGGTTAGGTATCCAGACCGTGTTTTGTACGGTGGAGCTGGATCGGTCTGTAATGGAGGACGGATCTCCGCAGTCCGGCCTCCGGCTAACTGCGGCGGTTTAGAGCCAGTGGGCCATCTCGGAGAGCTGCAGTGTCCCATGGCCTGCTCTACAGTAATAACCCTGGTGGTTGACGCGCCTACAGCACTCCAGTTCTGCTGAGTGTGCACGTTTCCCCTCCACAGCTCCTCCCTCCCAGTACACCGCCGCAGCTCGTCAGAGAGCCGCTCAGGCGTGGTATGAGCTGTCAAGGGCTGCTTGATGGTGATGCTTGCTCGGTCTCCCTCGAGAGTGATGCTGTAGAGTCCATCAGCCATCTCTCCCTCCCTCCCTCCATCTCCCCTTCCTACCTCTCTCAGTGCAGACAATAAGGACTAGAGGCCACGGAGAGGCCGCTCAGACAGGATGAGTTAGTCTTTCTTGGGCAGCAGCAGGCAGTGAAGGACAGGACAAACTGTTGAGAGCGCTGCCATTTTTTTTCTCCGGCATACTTCTCCTCACACCCTTTAGACATAAGTGGCAATGACGAACCTTTCTAAAAATAAAAAATTGTATTTTTTTTATATAAAAGTTTCTCATTTGGTTGTTATTTTAAATCTAAAATCTTTATCTAAAAATAGAGTCTCAGTGTCTATCATCATAGTTTTCATGTGTTTTAATGTACTTCCTCTCAGGTTCACACATACTTAACATGTATCACATAATGTTAAGTTTCCTCCTCTTCAAAAGGTTTATGACTAGATGCCACTTGGATGAAAAATGCATTCCGAGGCCTGCCTTTCCATTTATCTTAGGCGTTCTGAAATTGAAATGACTAAGATTATTAATCAAGTGGTAATGCAAATTCCACTCTTAACTTAACTGTCAATGCTCATGAATGTTTTTATTTTAGTATAGAAGAAATGATTTGACTAACAAAGTCAAAGGTGAAGGAAAAGTTCAGGAAGCTCAGAACAAATGGAAAATAATAATAATGATAATGGGGATGATACAAAACAAATTGCAAGTCTAATTGAGTCACGTTTTTGCAGGCTTTTTAATGAGGACAAAGAGCTGTAGTTTTCTTATCATCTGGTTGAGTTAAATATAAGCATATGGTTTACGTTTTCTATAATCACATAGTATGAGTACTTCAACGCTGTGCTGATCAATGAAGTTGATGAAGAAGGCCACAACGTGGAGCTGGGAGGGGAGTTCATCCTGAAGCCTAATGACCATTTCAACAACCTCTCAGTCAACCTGAGCCTGAGTGTGGTGCAGGTGCCCACCAACATGTACAACAAAGGTAGGTGCTTCCACAGCCTGGAAAAAGTAAGGTTTAAGAGAATGTTATTTACCTACAGTATAGAGAGCCGATAAAGAGTGAAGAGATGTGTGGGGTAGCGGTGGAAATAAGAGGTGAGATGAGAAACGGTAGCTGGAGTTGTACCAGTCTTACATGCTGGAGAGAATGGAGATTGGGAATCAATAACAACTCAGACATTAAAGCAGACCTCTCTGTGAAGATGTTGCTCATATGGTGGCTGCTGAGTCACTTCTTGTTGTCACTTCCCGTTGTGCGTTGTCTGTGTGGCTTTTGTTTGCCTGTAATGGAGTCCCCATAACTCTGCTCACAACACAAAGGGAGGCTCGTACAGCAGGAGGTAGGGAGGGGATGATTTAGTCACAGCCTTTGTATCTCCCTCAGAGGGAGTCAATAAGGGACAAAGGTCAACCATGCAATTGGTAACGGTGACCAAGATGGTTACCATTATCACCATTTAATTCACTTGTCTCCTCTCTTTTTTTTCTCCATGTGCCCCTCTTTTCAGATCCGGATATAGTGAATGGAGTATACTGGTCTGAGGCCCTCAACAAAGTGTTTGTAGATAATTTTATAAGAGACCCAACTCTTATCTGGCAGTACTTTGGGAGTGCCAAAGGTTTCTTCAGACAGTACCCTGGTGAGTGTTTTGGTTCAGCATACGTCTGTGGAAATATGGATGATATTTGGATGAGATATGGATTCTAACCCTAAACAACAGTTTTCAATGCCTGAATCTATCCAGCTCAGAAAATACAGATAATAAAAGAAAGTGAAGTTAATTATATCGATACTTAAGACTCCTAGATGTTCTTTTAATGCCACTTTCACTCTACAATTCAGAAATGTTGACATAAAGTTTAAGTACCCTTTTATTTGCTTAGGAAATTATGAATTTGATATCTATGTTAAACTTTGTTTAACAATGTGTGTAAATGTATGTAATGTTTACACCTACTATGAAACTGTGTTGAGATAAGAAACAAGGGTCTCAGTGAGTCTCTGCATGAGGCTTGAACTGAGACGAGGTTTAAGGTATGGTTAGCTGACCTCTTTGACCAATGCATGGAGGTTGATTTAGTGTCTCATGACGATGTCTGTGTGACAGAAAAAGAGAAAAGAAAGGGGCCGTCCCTAGGAGCAGAAAAAAACACATCAGAACAGATTATTTAGAATGGCTAAAAGGGTAATTCGGCTAATGTTGTAATTTTACACTCCATCAGAGAGGATGTATATAACCAGCCAGCAATAAATCAGAATTTGCCGGTGTTGGTCTGCAGCCACACAAAAGAATTCAGTCTCTACATCCAACCAGCAATCTCAGGTGCTACAGAAGTTGTAAAGCTGGCAGTCACAGAGACCTGTGAGGCCACAGAGATAAAATGCACTTGTGTTATACAGATGTGTTTGTGCAATGTACTGTAAAAAGAGACATCCATAAAAAAGAGATATTTCTCCTCTGTGTTTGATTATGCCACTTCACCAATGTAATCATCATTCAAATGATAAAAAGCACACACGCCAGACTGCTTTAATTTTTGTTTTGTTTTTATCAGTGACGGATTATATTAATGGAGCAAGACATATGTTGTCACTTTCAGTGATGATTCATTGGTGCATGGAGAGGAAAAAGTCAAATTAAAGGGTTTAGCATTGCTGTAGTAGATCTCTTATTTGAATATTCAACATGGAAAGACTAACTCAACATTATAAGCATGAAAATCCTGATGTTCCCCCTGAATCTTATCAGTTTATATGAAAACGAGGATATTCGTTTATTCAGAGTATTTGTTCCTTGACAATACCGTGTCAGTTGTGCTGTAAAATAGGTTTTTAACAAATGGCAGATAAATGGAATTTCAGTCATGGATGAATCTGCCTTTGGCCCAGTGGTGAGTTTACTGCCACAGGATAGTAAATATGGAGTCAAGATATAACACAGTGAGAATGTTCATCATGAAGCGTAAATTTGCTGTCCAGTGAAACAGTGTGTTTCAGCAAAGTGTTTTTAAGCGTTTAAAACTGCAGTGGAACTAGGTGTTGAAGAGAGATTTACCCTTAAGCTACACAGGCAATACTTGTTAGTGATTTAGCTCTTTTGTTGGGTTTGGTTGGTTCGTTAATTTAGGATGTTGGAACATTTATCATCTAGGTGTACGTGTACATGAGAGCTTACACTTAGCAATTGTGAAAGGTTACACGCAGCAAGATGATATTGTGTGCATTTCTGATAAGAAGCATACAGGGACTTTCTTTTCATCTGACAGACCTTGTATGCATCAAATAAACACTGCCTGTGTGCTTGTTTTTTTTCTGTTGTCTTTTTTACAAATTTCCTTCCTGATGTAACCTCCAGGTGTAAAGTGGCACCCAGATGAGCATGGTGTCATCGGGTTTGATTGCAGAAATCGAAAGTGGTAAGCTTACCTGTGGATTTGAACATATTGCTTCTCATTGCATAATATGTGAGAAAATATTTTGACTGAAATGTTTAATTTAACTCTGTCACAGGTACATCCAGGCGGCCACATCTCCAAAGGATGTGGTGATCCTGGTAGATGTTAGTGGAAGCATGAAGGGGCTGAGGCTGACCATAGCCAGACAGACTGTTTCCTCAATATTAGACACACTGGGAGACGATGACTTTTTCAACATAATTGCAGTATGTTTGCTTGCTCACGTCAGTGAGTCTTATTTTCCAATATAATGGCGGTATCTGAACATCTGTAACATTATTAAAAGTTTCATTTGAGCTCATTAATCTTTGAAAAAAGGATCGTTTTTATTCAGTTCTTTTGACTCAGACTGCGGTCTATATTTCCACAGTACAATCAGGAGGTCCACTATGTGGAGCCTTGTCTGAATGGTACTCTGGTCCGGGCAGATAGAACCAACAAAGACGTGAGTCTCTGATCAGTCATCTGATTGAATTGTCTGAGATTGACGTTCGGAAACTTTCTTTGTGACTTTTGTGCTTACCTGTCAGCATTTCCGTGAACATCTGGACAAGCTGTTTGCCAAAGGGATCGGACTGCTGGGTGATGCCTTGACGGAAGCGTTCACAATCCTGAGTGATGTAAGTTCCACTACATTAAACTGTGACTGTCAGGTATTTAATAAGGATGCCGTTTGAACATTTATCTTTTCAGTCTAAATTCTTCTCCAATAATGCATCGCAAAAAAGATTTAGTTCTTTTTTCTTTACATGTGGAAAATCATTAGGACTAATAAAAGATAAAGACACATATTCATTTATATATCAATTTGTTACTGTAATGAGCTTTACTATAACAGATAGGCTTTGTTCCCATTTAGTTAAGGTCTCCTCTGTTATGGGTTGAAGGAAACTTTCATTTCACAAGGCATTTGTTTTCAATGACAGAAAGAGTTTATGTTCACTGCTCCGCATGTTTTCAGCTAATTGTGAAAAGTAGCACACACTGGTCAAATATGCTTGAGCATTTGGGAGGTGTGTCGCCTGTCGAAACGCTCCATTGCTATTCCCGTTCCACCCTCCAAACACAGACACATCTACTCTAAAACGTGATTAATGGTTCTAATTAATGTCAATGATTAATATTGTTGCTGATTGGGACACAAAGAAGATAAGGCCAGCAGCCAAACCGCACTTCTTTTATCTCCCTGTTTTCAGATGAGCTCTGGCTGCAGCTTGGAGCTGAGGGAGCACAGCATTTACCTCTGCATTCCTCAGATTAATTAAAGCTCCACATTGAATATGGAAATCACTTTGACAGCAGCCCACTTCAGAAATTCTGCGTAACACTGATTCCTGGTGATTTAAGGCTGAAGAATGCAAAAAAACAAACAAACAAAGAAAATAAAACCTCTCCTCACATTGCAAAAAGTGCCGCCTTTACATTGAGAAATGTAGACTGCTCCTTCTTAAAGGCCTACATGAAAGAGGCATAAAATAGTAAAATACTAAATACTAAAAAGAAATTGCTCTCTTCAATACTAAAGAGGGACAATATTCAGGAAGTAGAGAGAGTATATCTGTATTTTCTCCATCTGTATTTGACATTTTGTTGCATCCCAAAGTTCAGCACATGCATAACAATTGAAATGGTTTAGGAGAAACTCATGGTAATAAATGGCAAGTTACTTAATGTAACTGAAAAGATGGCAAGTTCTATTAAGTAACTTGCCATCATATTATTTATCTGCTTATTGTACAGCTTTGATTTGCACATTTCCTGTATGTGCTCCTTTCAGTACACTGCCAGTATTCTTTATCTTTAAACCAGCAGTTAGCTGCGTCTTGGAACTTTTTCCGGCATCTGGAGGTGATTTATTGCTCTGTGCATCAGGAACACACCTTTGTCTGTTTTCTTTGGAGTTCTCCTGCATCTTTTGCTGCTGTCTCGATAGATATGGCAATCCCTAAAATGAGGTTCAGTGTATGATGTGTTGGGTATAGTTTCTTTTACTTCCACTGTGCAGTGCAGAAAAAGTGCATAGAACCCATCAGCGAGCTAACAGCGTCCCCAGAGTTGCAGAAGTTCCACGATGTCCTCCCATATTGACTTGTTCTTAAGTTGGAAATGTTTGGCTAAAATCAGCTGTTTTAGGTTCAAATGTTTTTTAAACATTTCTGTAATGTTGACTAAAATGTTTTGTTGTTTGGCAAGTGTCAGGGTTCTTTGCTCCCATCCGCGATAGCAGCCACACGATCAGTAGTTTAGCATTTCTATCCCACCAACAAGGATTTCAACTTCTCTGTCATCAATTTGAGCACTGGGGGTTTGTTTATCCTTGTCGCCAGTTCGAAATGTTCTCCAGAAAAGCAATTACCTGGAACCTCAAACTTGGCTGACTTCCTTCAGCATCACTTAGGAACCTATATGAAACCCCACAAGGCATCTCACCACTTTGTATAAATTCACTGAAGAAAATCATGCCACCAGCACAATTCAGTGTATGTCAAATTAGATTGGATTAAAGTTTATTAGTCTGTGAGGGAAATTCAGCTTTACCTAACAAATTGCTTTAAAAAGAGGACTTTAAATAGAAACAAGGACTTACCTCTAGATAGAGCATTAACAAGCACTCAGGTCTTCAGAGGAAACTGTCAGTGCTGTCAGCCAGTACCCCCTGAGCATGACGAGAACCATCCTTAGACCGGCCGAACCCTTCAAATTTCTTTGAAGACATTCTGACAAGTTAAATCATGGGGTAAATAATCCAATTACAGACCTGCTTCAGTATCTGATGATGCGTGTGAGGGTTCACTGTCATGGTTCAGGCTTTCATCAGATCAAAAGTTCTGCCGTGCACACAAGCAGAATCATGGTGTAAGTTGTCGTGAATAATCACTTGAAGCATTCTTTTTTTTGTGGTGGAAATAGTTTATTTTCTTAGACACATGTCTACAAAGCCAGGAGCCAAAGTCATAAAATCGCATTGCAATGTTTGATGCATATTTATTTTGTTTTTGAGAAGTTATTTATGATTTTAAAAAAGATACCTATGTTATCTTTTATTGTTGTTTTCCTTCCTCAGGTTATTAGACAATGTTGGCTGCATTTAAACGTTATATCGAATTTCTTTACAATTGTGTCATGTTAAATGAGTATGATTTTGATCAATCCATATTTTCTTTCCTTTGAAGCCTTAATGACTGTGGGCTACGAACAAGAGAATGAATAAAAACTCTATATAAAGAAGCAGAACCATCAGGTGGTGCTGAGCACACATGTATATACATGAAAATTGTATTTCTGGATAAAAAAAGACTCTCATGCCTGTGAAGCAGTCAGGCCAGAACACAACTTCTGACATCAAACTGTAAATAAAGGAGGTGATATAGTTTTGTGGGACGTTCTGCCTTTTTGAATGGGACTTCTGAATGCCTGCTGATACTTGGCAGGTGTGATTTAACAGCAGATGAGCTCAGCAGGATTTATCTTGTGACTGTGTCACTGCACATTCCTTTGTCTCCACATTCACACTGTTACAGGTCAATAAACCACTTAATTACCGCACTGCATCTTCGGGCATCAGAATAAAGCATGCCACATTATTCAGGATTACTTACTTAAAGGCTGTGTGTGGCTCACTGGCTGAGCCCAGTACGACTATTGTTTGCAGAGTGTGACTTTCTCTTTATCACTCTTTCTGTAGTTTAATCAGACGGGGCACGGCAGCGTGTGCAGCCAGGCCATCATGCTTGTGACTGACGGGGCTACCGAAATGTACGATGATGTTTTTGAGAAGTACAACTGGCCAGAAAGAAAAGTGAGTCTTGACCCTTTTCTCCTTCCTCCTTCTTTGCTCTGCGCACTTTGTCTAATTTTCAGTGTGACGTGTCTTTCTTCTGTACTTTCTGCTTGTGCTGCAGTTTTCTTGCATCAAGCAAAGCCACACGTTTTAATGCTTTACGCTAGCTCCAGCTCCTGTCAGATGTTGTGAGGAATTGGTTTCTTACTTCATTACTACTCCGTGACGCAAAATCTATGTCCGTGTGTGTTTCCTTTCAATATGTTGATGCATTACAGCTCAATATTTTTCCCACAAGGAATAAAGCACGGCAAAATAACTGCTTTCAAGGGCAGTGGATGAGGAGGAAACCAATCTAGACAGCTTTATTCCACCCACCCCACTTCTGTGCTGCACCCACACTTCTTCTTGGACTCAACAGTGGCTTCAAAATCCTCTTTCATACAATGTTTGAAAGCTCTAAATGCAATTGAAATGAAATCAACTGCTGTGCTGTTCACAGCGTAATAAAAGCAACAGCTCAGGGGCTTTTGTTCAGTCCTATCAAGCATATGGGTGTTGGCAATGTTTGCCCCGCCTCCCCCACCCCATCCATACACCCTCAGGGCTGCTATATGGCCGCCATTCAGTGTTTTCTACATGCTTTATGCTTAGCAAAGCATCTGGAGCCAATGAGCCGTGCGGGTCTGGCCAAGTTTCACGCAGCGTTGTCTGAAAGGACAGTAGCACACGTCCTCATCCCCAGACCCCTGTAGAGGAAAATGAATAGAATTAAACTGCATAATAGAGAAAAATACAAAATACAGCATGCACAATCTGTAATCAATGTAAATGATCAACTAAAATGCTGGGGCTGGAATGGCAGCTAAACAACTAGTAGGTCCTGGCAGGGTTGAAACCACCTTTTACCCCAGAAACGATAGAATAATGACAGAATGATGTAGCATTGAGCGCAGGCTTTACTCTGCTTTTTTATTATTATCCATCCATCTCTAAGAATGTAACCATCTCTGTATCCCATACACAGGTAAGGATATTCCCCTACCTTATTGGACGAGAGTCTGCGTTTGCTGATAACCTCAAATGGATGGCTTGTGCCAACAAAGGTTGGAGACTTTTGATGAAGACTTATCGAAACAGTTTGGTATCAGAGTGGAGATGTGAGCTGAATGTGGTGCTTCTATGCAATCGTATGACAGATTGAGGATGCGTGGGCATCGCTGCGGTTTGTTCATGCCTGTGCGTGCTGTGAGTGTGCATGCATGTGCTGGCTGAGACTCCGTCTGCCGAGAGGCAATGAAGTGTCACTTGAGGGGGGGGGGGTCAGGGGTCAATCCGCTCTAATCCCTCTTCCTGTCAGTGTCTACCTCTGGGCTGCTTGCTGCTGATGGTTCCCACGTGTCAACGCCACGGATGAATGCTCCCTGAAAGGGAAAGTCACGGCCAAGAAAACAGATCGCAGAGGGATTGTAGAATGACAAGCCCCTAGACCTCCTTCCCCTCCAAGATCCCCCGCTGTGAAATAACCTTACATGTCTAATGTGAAACATTGTCAGCATCAGCAGCCACTGACAGCCAATCAAATTGCTCCTGTGCCATCCTGAGCTGATCCCGTGGAAGCCTACAGCAGCAAGAGCCATTCCAACTCATTAGTGATAGGAGCAGGAGTAATGAAACACACAATAGCCAAACAGATTGGGGATACTCTACTTTATTTGCAGAACTTTAATTGCGTTTGGTGTTTTACAATAACTTCCACCTGCCTCGAATTTGTCCAATGCTTATATAATGAAATAAAACTAGACTACTATCAAACATGAGAGCCAATTTGCACAATCAGTAATTTAATTATAATTCTGAGAAAAATAAAGTTTCTGGTTCTTCATGGCGGAATATTTTAAGCACAAAATTAAAACAAATCTCTAGTTCTTTAATCCATCCATGATGTGGTGTATTAAATAGTTCAAATTGATTTTGTTATGCTTACAAGAAGAAAATCATGTGTGTCTTAAGTAATGTTTTTTAAAGTTTGTCTGTTTAATGAGAGTGTTCTTTTACAGGATATTTTAGCCAGATCTCCACTTTAGCCGATGTTCAGGAGAATGTGATGAGATATCTTCACGTTATGAGCCGTCCAAAAGTTATCGATCACGAGCATGACACAGTGTGGACCGAAGCGTATGTGGACAGTGCTGTAAGTATGTTACAGTGTTTGCTTGACCGCCACATCCATGTTATTATTTGACAGTGTGACTGCATGTTTGGCAAATGACCGAGAATTTGTTCGACTAAAACATCACAGTTTCAGATACTCTCCAGATTGTTACTCATGGTGTTCTGTCCTTTATTACATGCTGTTGTGGATTGCCTGTACTGTACAGTGAGGGTGCATATGTCTGGATCTGCAACCTCGTCATTATTCTTCATGCTGCTGGAATAGTTCCTCATTATGAGCTTCATTAATCTGCATGGATCCACCTCACTGTATTGTACATCTGTGTCCGCAAAGTCAATGCAGAACACGCAGCCTTTAATTCACTGATAATTCAATCTTTATATGCTTTTTCTCCCTTGTCAGCTTTCTCAGGCTCATAAGGTAAATATCACATTGACATATTTTACTGACTGACTTTCTGAAAAACTGACAGTGGGGATATTTCTGAGGTACAAAAAAGAAGATTATGAGCAGAGAACAGAGACTGACTCTCAGATTCAGCATATTTAGGTCACAAAGTGTAAAGAAGTAGCGACTTGAGAGGTTAAATAGTTAAATGTCACCATCGTGCTGCGGTGTTTCCCTGGAAGTCCAAAGTGACGTTAGGCTTTTCTCTCTGAGGGGCAAGAACGGCACAGAGGCATTTATTTTACTTCATTCCAGTTTGGAAACATTGTACACATTAGGGCACACTCGCACATACACACAAAAGGGTTAGCGATTGTCCTCTAGAGTGTGTGCTCTTGTATCTCAGCCTCAGACACACCATTCATCATTCTGTGGATCATTGCGCTTTATCTCCTAAAGCCCATAATAAAACTGACATTGGAGGGAAGACCAAGAAAGAGGCAGAGGAAAGGGAGAGAAGGATGGGGATGGAGGTTGTTAGGCGTCTACTGGTTTACCTGTGTGTATGTGTGTGTGTGTGTGTGTGGACATGTGTTTGTGAAAATGAAGGCAGCAGACTTCTCCTCCATTTTGGGAAGGGATGACTGTAAGGACCATACATTCTTCATTTTGTCAGGCTCCCTTGTACACACACCCGTTTGCAGCTCATTGGCTGCATTTGCATGCACATACACATGCGAACATCCAGCTCACACACGCACACACTCAGCACCCTTAGTGTTAACTCACAAGGTGAAGGAAGAGAAGACCTACTTTAACAGCGCTCGTGAGCTTAATTATTCACCCTCCTGAGAACAGCAGAGGTTTCAGATGTGACAACAGAAAGACCGAGGCCAGGGTCATACTTGCACACCCTCTACTGGAACTTATTTAGGTGATGCTTTCAGTTATGTAATCCTTTTTTCCTTAAATCTATATTTGTAGACCTTCTTTTTTTACTTTAACTTTGTTATTTTCCTTAAACCGTGCAGTTTTATTGTGTAGAATGTTGTCTCAACACTTTTCTTGTCTTTCTTTCTTTTTAAGTGTGCATTATGTTTGCCACTTATCAGTTATAGTTTTTCTTTAGTGAAGTGCAGTAAGATGTCATATTCAAATGTATATGCGCCAAGAAATTTGATAAACTTTTGAAACTGGTCATGTTGTGTCTATATAGTCTGTGTCCAGTTACTTCCAATATTCAATTGTTTAGAGGGAACAGAACTTTAGTTCAGGCCCATATCCTTAATGTGAACAGTGAAGATGTAGATTTATTGTGTTCTTTTCTCTTAAGCGACTTGCAAAAATATAATGAGAAAGCACAGTGACATCCAACTCAATGGGATCACTGAGTTACTGGCCTCCTCAGGTGATCAAGTGTTGTCTATCTTCTTTCAGCTAAATGACAAATCAGGTCCTACTCTGACAACGACGGTAGCCATGCCTGTCTTTAGCACAAAGAATGAAACAGTGAGTGAAACACGTATTCAAAGTATTCAAACTCTTTCTGTGAAAACTCAAAGGCAAATAGAATATTACATATTGCCCCTTAAAATATTCTCAGTGACTGAGCGCTAATGCTGATTCTAGCTGAAGTTGTGTATGTGTTTTAAATCTTTTTCATGCAGAAAAACCAGGGTATTCTGTTGGGGGTCGTAGGAACAGACATCCCTCTGCAGGAGTTGATGAAGCTCATCCCAAAACATATGGTACAATCAGCTGTTTTGTTCTAGATTAATGGACTCCTGTTGTTGTTGGGTTTTTTTTTGTTCTGACTCGTGCGTTTCTCTGTTTCTAGTTAGGTATCCATGGATATGCATTCGCCATCACAAATAATGGCTACATTCTGATTCACCCGGACCTCAGGCCTCTGGTAATTCAGTTTGTTTGTGTTGGAACCTGAGCATTCTCACAGCATTCCCTGACTTCTTTACCCTGTTTTTCCTTTTCGTTTTGTCCATGCTATTGTGTAGATAACCCAAAATAAGATGGCACACAGAGACAAATGTATTATCTGGCTCGGAGGCAACACGGGCTTGTATAGTCTGTAATCCCCAACTTTTCCTTTGATGTATGCATGCAGGGATAAGGGCCACTCATAGGGCTGGCTGGCCTGAGATTTCCCAGAGGTAACTTAACACTCGCTGGCAGAGAGCACAGCCCCTCGCCCTGAGGCCGCTGGGTCCTCAGGAGCTTTGGCTGTGCTAGTGGATCTGTGTGTGCCAGTGTTAGTGCTACTCCTCTCTGTGCAACTGTGTGTGTTGGTCTGTGTTGGTTTCTTGTGAATGTTTCTTTGTGGCTGTGGTTGTAGTAATTGACTTTTCTCGTTTCGTGTGCGACTTACAGTAGCAGTTTGACATGAACACTTTAATGCTTTGATGTAGACTTGTTTGAGCGTGGGTCTTCTATCAATCATATTCATTAATTCTAATTTACCTGACAGTGTTCATTTCACAGATGGTTTGCTAAATAATTACTCCCCGAAAGCTTCATAACAGTGCTGGATAAATAGGGGCCTATGGGCAGTCTTTACTTTGTGACATTAGAGAGATTACATTGGAGCATCTCTGAATTTAGCCATTTCCCTAAAGTCAGGCTAATATATTTAGAAATTATGAACCGCGTAAAGATTTGTCAGTTGTTTCAAACTAGTTTAGCTGAAAATGTAAGCTTTGGTTGAGTTTCAAATTAAACTGTTTACCTTTTGTTTCTCTGTGCAGTATCAGGAGGGTCAGAAGAGGAGGAAGCCCAACTACAGCAGTGTTGATCTCTCTGAGGTGGAGTGGGAAGACAAGGATGACTTTGTATGTTCAAAAAGCCTAACTATAAGTTCAGAAAAGCTGACGATATACAAAAACTGTATTCTAAGCTGTTTGGATCTGAAATGTTTATTTAACATCAGTTTGTCTGATCTCATCATAAATTCAATTAGATTTAATGAGCCTGAGAATGATGCTGTTCTTGTTGAGCAGTTTCATTATATTATTAAAACTGCACTGAAATGCAAACAGGTTATCGGTTCACTGACCCAGACTTGACCTGTCTGCACATTTTTAGCTACGCAATGCTATGGTGAACAGAAGGACGGGGACTTTCTCCATGGAGGTGAAGAAGACTGTGGATAGAGGGGTGAGGATGCAGAAACACATTTCTTTGTGCCTTTATTCAGATGACAATTGTCCTCTCTGTTGTGTCAGGCCTAAAAGGATGAATTTCCTCTCTTTTCTAGAGGCGGGTGCTCAAGATGCACAATGACTATTACTTCACTGACATCAAAGGAACTCCATTCAGGTGAGAAAAGTTTTATCACATTCCTTAATGACTTTCTGGCTGTTGAAAAAAGTTCCACTGAAACAGTGACTGACTCAGGTTAATGTTCTTCTTTGTTTGTGGCTGCAGCGTCGGAGTAGCTCTCTCAAGGGGTCATGGGAAATATTTCTTCAGAGGAAATGTATCCATCGATGCAGGTAATTCATTCCTACTCTGCAGTGCAACATGATTTGCACAAACGAAGTCATCCTCAACCTGGATTAGATATTTACTCACCACGGTGGCTTCATTCCAATTGGACATTTCAAATGAATTTTTTAAAATCCAGGCCACGGCATAGGTCACATATACACAGGTTCTCCAAAAAAAAAAGGATTTTTACCAGAATACTTGTCCTCACATTTGCACACTCAGTGCATCAGTCAACACAGACTGGCACTGCTGAAGCGTTACTGACTTGTGTTTTTCAGGGCTGCGTGATTTGGAACAGCCAGATGTCGCCCTGGCAGATGAATGGTGAGGAAGGGGTAGTTGAAGTGATCATTCATGCATTATATAGGTTACCCCTCTGCGCTCACCGGCCATCCTGAGGCCCATGTTCTAACATTGTGGCTCTTTTCGGACAACATACAGGACTTACTGCAACACAGAGGAGGACCATGAGCACCGTCACCTGACCCAGATTCAAGCCATCAAGCTCTTCATGACGGGCCGCAGGCCACACCTTAAATGTGAGGCATATGAGTCACATTTAAAGCAGTTACTGTAGATCACAGACAGCCTTCATCATCTGTGAAGATAAACTGCCTCAAACTGGTCTAACATCCTGTAGGTGACAGAGAGTTAATCCAGGAGGTGTTGTTTGATGCTGTGGTCACTGCTCCACTGGAGGCCTACTGGACTGGACTGGCTCTCAACAAGTCAGAGTAAGAACCAACTGAAACCACTTCCCATTACTCTTCCCCATCTACAGTCAAGTGTTACTCAGAAACCTATTACACTTCAAAGGATTAACACATCAGGGGCATAATTTTAAAAAGATATTAAAAAATTGGATTTTTAACCGGTCTTAAAATGTGATGAATAACGAGTGTATGATGTTATCTCATCTTCTGTAAACAAAATCAAAATAAAACTAAATGTAGAGGCTGTTTCTGAAAAACCAAATACACCCCGCTAGTCATGCTTGAAGTAAGTGTTTTCTATTCATAGAATGGTCTTACATTGTTGAAGGCGAACTTTGCCCTACTCTTCTTTACAGCTTTGCTTTGCTGAAGTGTACCGGATTTATTTCATCCACAGCTCTTTTACGAGCACTGTAATCACAATTCAGTCTGGACTGGACCAAAGCAATACCTTTTTTTTAAACTTTAAGTCACAATCAAATCCATTCGCCAGTGTGAAGCCATTGTTCTGTAGTGACTCCAAAGTCTTCAGGTCACATGACTTGAAAACAATGGTCCAGATCACGAGTCTTTAACTGACAAATCGTGTATGCAGATGTGTTATGTTTAGTTTTCTTTATTTGAAGGTTTCAGGCACTGTGCATTATAACCAGATAACTTCATTTTTGTCTCATCTGACCATTGCTCATTGCTACAGAAGTCTTATGGCTTATCAGATGTAACTGTGTAGACTTAAGCTGTCGTACCATGTTCTATTTTGTTAACACACACCAAATCACAAAAACTGCTTTTTTTCTAGTTGCTACTCGCCCCCTTAATCCCTCCATGGCAAATGGTGTGTTTATCTCCTCACACAATGTTGGAATTTGGCTTTTTTTCCCCCTAAGTAATGCTTTGGTGGGAAATGTATTGTTGTTCCTCTGGGGTTGCATTTTCCAAATTTATTGCACTTTCTTCATCACATGACTGATAAGAAAAAAAAGAAGTGCTAGTATTTCTGTCAGATATGGTCAGAAAAACACTCTCAGAAAGAACATGGACATGATGCTCCGCATTACATTGACAGGAACTCAGACAAAGGAGTGGAAATTGCTTTCCTGGGCACACGTACCGGGCTGTCTAGGACCAATCTGTTTGTACCAGCCGATCAGCTCTCCAATCAGTGAGTGCTGCTGCTCAAAATGTCTCTAATCATTACTTACAGCATTGAGCATGGCTGTGGTTGTGTCTGATGAATCTAATCATTTGCTCTGCACTTGAGTTTCAATCTCTATATCTCTGCAGAGATTTCCTAACCGCAGAAGACAAGGAGGGTGTGTTTAATGCTGATCACTTCCCCCTGTGGTACAAACGTGCAGCAGAACAGGTCCCTGGGACATTTGTCTACTCCATCCCCTTCAGCACAGGTACATTGTGAAGTGTGATATCAGCTCCTTAAATCTTTGCAAAAACTAAACTCTGTGTGTGTTTGTTCTTTTTGTGATGAAAAATGTTTTTCAACTTGTTCTCTTACTTTCACTGGAAATCAGATCTCTCTGGCATTAAATGTACTATTTGCCTCTGGTAACAGTGATTTCATCCTCTCATGCTATGCCATCATATCATGAAATGTTCATTCAAAGTGGAAATTTAAAAAGTATGAAGTCATCTAGCTGTAGAAGATGCCTTAACTGGACACTATTGCTGTGAAGTGAGAGACTGATAATACAGTTTCCCCCCTCCAAGGCAAAACACTGAGGCAGCTGTGTAAATGGTGCCATCTACTGAGCAAAAAAGGTAAAGAGATCAAACTCCCTATTCTTCCTTTTTTAGCTTTAGAAAACAAGAGCGTGGTGTTGGCCAGTACAGCTATTCAGCTCCTCGATGACAGAAAGTCACCGATTGTTGCTGGTAATGACCTTTAAAGCATCTCTCTTATAAATATCAGCATCTAGCGTCATTTGTCATTTAATAATTTTGATCTTGTGTCCAGCTGTCGGCATCCAAATGAAGCTTGAGTTCTTTCAAAGGAAGTTCTGGACCGCGTGCAGACAAGTAACCACATGCTAGTTATTAAAAAAAAAAACATGCAAGATACTTCTCTTCACAGTAACTTGTGGGACTAAAATATCCTTGTTTTGTCCTCAGTGTACAGCCCTGGATGGAAAATGTAGCATTAGCTGTGATAGCGAGGTAAAAAGTCACAAAACTGATGCTTTTTATTTTTAAGTTTTCATTTTAAAGCTTTTTATTTATTTGTCCTTCAACAGGATGTTAACTGCTACCTCATCGACAACAATGGCTTCATTCTTGTTACAGAAGAACAGTCTCAGGTATATATCTGTTCACGGTTATATGTGTGTATCACCTTCATGTTAATGTCCCTTCAAAAAACCTTATGTTGTTTATACCTGTGTGATTGAATGTGTTCTGTCAAAAGGAAGTTAGCCATCCTCCTCTTCAGAAAGATTCATGTCGTGTGACTTATCGGATGCAGTCACACACATTTTAAATTCTACAATATAATTTTTAGATTCAGACACATATTTTTCAGCAAATGAAAAAACGTAAAATTATTCTTACAAAATGACTTTTTCATCATTTATATATATTGTGCAATAAAACAAAGCAGCCATTTTTTAATTGTTATCAGTCAATAACATGTATGGTGTAACTTCATGGCTTTTAGGTTATAACACAACTTATTATTACTAGCATGATAAACCCTTCGGGGTACTTTTTGAGTCAGAATTTTTAAGTATCTTCTACAAGATGGCTACATATCAGATAGCCCAGCAGATCCTGCTAATGCATCAATTTTCTTGGTCCTTTGTTCACCTTTTGTTTTGTACAAAAACTAAGTGACATCTTGATCATGAAAAAGTGGTGCCATATTTCTTTGTTCCTTTAACTAGATTGGTCATTCAGATTATAATGAAACAGTTTGTGTTTAGTGAATCAGTGGTATCATGACGATAGCTGTCTGTCTGTCTGCTTTGCAGCGTGTTTTGACTTGAATGCTCTCTCAGACAGGGCTCTTCTTTGGGGAAGTGGAGGGGGCTGTTATGAACAAACTTCTTCAAATGGGGTCCTTCAAAAGGTCAAACACACAACACAAAGTTTACTCTTGAATCAAAACTTACAGATTAAACAAAGCTTAAAACCTTAAAAATTACATTTGCAAACAAATCACATTTGCTACAAATTCTGCCGTGCTGACTGTATGCAGGATAACTCTGTACGACTACCAGGCCCTTTGCAGAGAGTACGCTGGTAGCAGCGACAGTGCGCGCACTCTATCAGATGTGAGTGTGAGGGGCAACTTTTACAAGCATTCTTTGTCATCTGTGATATGGGGGATGTACATTTGGATGGCCCATGCTGAAATCATGATGACAGACTGAATAAATGTTTTTCATTTCTCAGCCTTTTTCTGTGGTGAGGTGGCTCCTGACTGAACTTGTCATGTAAGACTGTTAACAATATGTTAATATGTTTCTTTGATATACACTATTTCATTTTAGTGAATGCTAACATCAGTGTATTAACATGTTTTGGTTTGGTTTTTTAGCTTCCTGCTGGAATTCAACTTGTACAGTTGGTGGAACGTTGATCTCTCTGTTAAAGGTTGGTAGATATCATGAATTGTTTCTGTGTGAGACAATCAGAGAATTGAGTATTAGATATGTAACGCTTTTAATTTCCTGTAGATTGGCCAAGTTTATTGGTTTATTTAATCTTGTTGTGTCTCACATTCAAGCTCAAAGATCTCGGGGTAAAACCACGATGGTGCCATGTGATACAGAGTACCCTGCCTTTGTCTCAGAACGCACAATTAAAGAAACAACGGGCAGCATTGAATGTGATGGCTGTTTAAGGTACTGGCTCAGGCCAACATGAAAAATGCAATCAGCCAATCTTCCAATGATAATCTAAGATGCGCATTTAATCTTGAGCCTGTCAGGTGTCACTCTGAACTATTTTAATCACACTCTCTTTGTGGGCTGCAGATCTTTTGTCATACAGCAGATTCCTAGCAGCAACCTCTTTATGGTTGTCGTGGACAACAAGTGTGACTGCAGCAGTGTTCCTCCTGTTACCATGGATCCCATAGAGATCATGTATATCCTTTATAGATCCAACCCAGGTGTCATACAGAAAAAAGTTTGCTGAACCCTCTTTTCGAAATTGGATGTCACAGTCTTTTTCATTACCAAAAATGTAAAAACTGTTAGGATTTAGATCATTTCTTTTTCAGTATTAATGTCTGGGCAAATTAAGTTTAGATTTAGATTACCTTTGACGTTAAAATGGTGTCATTTCAAAATGGTTTATTATTATATTATTATTTTATATATTTATTTCCCATCACATTGTTTTTCTTTTTTGGCTAATATGATGTTGTATCATATTGTCATATGCATTTTTGTCCAGAATTGTATTATTTACAGCCTTGACACCTTTGAACACAACGAGTCACTAAAATGTGACAGACTGAAGTTTCAGAAGGACAGAAAGAAGCCAGAGTCGTGTCATCCTTTCCACCCTGAGGTATGAAAATGTGAACTGTCAGCACATAGTGTGTCTGGATGTCAGAAAAACATATGCGGGGAAACAAGCGCTGTCTGAGGTGTATACTGCCTGGATATTAGTGACATGGTGTGCATGCTGGTAAATTGTTGCTTCATTCTCATTTCTGCGACCTTTATGCCGCATTCCACTCGTTCCTCACAACTTAGAAAGTGTTTAGATACAAGCAGGATGGTCATCAACACACAGAGTAACACAAAGAGGGGCCTCATTTACCGCTCTCAGCATGTGGCGAACAAAACCACAGCCTCATTTCTGCCTCACATCCTGCCTCCCATAGACAGCCTTTCCCCAATTCACTTCCCACCATCACATTTCTGTTAGAGACACAACACCAGCAGAAATTCACCCGCTGTGAAGCAGATGTGTAAAAATCAACTGCATGAAAATGGACTAAATCTGTTTGTGTGCAAACATTGCTTTGGTTAAAAAAAAACACCTGCAATTCTAGAGCAAGGGCTGCAGACGTTAAGATATAAAAAAACAGCAATCCAGTCTGAGTTCTGCAGTATACATGGGGGCATTATCGGTACTGCATAAGCAGGACATTACATCGGGCTTACAAACTGCAACGTGGAACACAACGGATTTTGTCTGTTGCAGGAAAATGCCATGGAGTGTGGCTCAGGAACCCGCCTCTCCAGCGCTCTAACGGCAGCCGTGCTACCTCTAATAGCAGCAACGGTCAGCAGGTGACCATGAGCAGCAGAGCTGGGGATCAGTGAAAACTAACTCAACAAGAAGATGCTTAGAGACAGATAGAGAACATCTCCAATTAGAAAGAATTGTGTCATACCTCTGCAGCAGGCATTACTCTACTGGGACAAAGTCTTTTTCAGCGGCACCCAGACATCTCCATTAATGCAGAAAAAACTAAATTATATGAGAATAAGGGCGAGCTTGGCGTCTTTGCTCAGTGCTTTGTAGATCACTCCACTGACAGTTTGCCACGTTATTCTGAATGTGTGCTGAATCAAGTAAAATAAGAACATACAAAGTGCTGACGTCTAAACATGTTCATTATGCATAGGATGATAATAAAGACATAGAATAGTTATTTATTTGTTTCGAGTGAAAAAATGAATGAATGAAAATGCACTTTTGTGAGATAGAAAAAAAGAAGAAGGATCTATATCACTTGCTGTAAAACTCAAAGGACAATTTACATTGTGGCTTTATATTTTTGAACTATTTTGTGTTTATTTTGTGACTACATTCCTTTCATGTCAGCCAAGAATCATTCACACAAAATGCTAAAGAAAATGGGAACAATATGATGATTGTGATGCATTGTGTCAGTTTGTCTTCATTTCCAATAACAATACATGAGAAAAGATGCATGATGAAGGTCCAGCAGAGTGTTTGAAGAAGTTCCATTGATGTGCTCGGCCACAATTTGTCAAAACGTCTAAACAGTCTTTATCATGTGTCTAGAAAAGCTGATAATTAAACACAAAGAAATATTTTTCCTTCATTTGCACTCAGAGTTATTTTCTGTTTTGTGTGTTAGCGTGTTTTTGTGCGCGTGTGTTCGTGTTTATGTTACGTAATAAAGACCTACTCTGGTGACATCACTTAACTTGTTGGGACCTGTAGTCCTTTAGGTTTCCACTGCTGGGTAACTATTAGGTGGAATGTTATTTCTGGTGTTTATGTGTGAGGTCATTGGGTGGAGTGGATGCCGTTATTGGTAGAAGAGACCAAAGTGATTGTAGAATACATTAAAACTGAAACAACATTTGGCGCAGTATAGATACAGAAAGCAAAAGTATTAACACATTTACCATCAAGCTGTAGTTTGAAACAGAACAAAAATGGAAAATGGGTAAATGTCTTCTCTAAATAATTATGTGAAAATATATGACATAAACACATATACATATCTGTTTTAATTGGACTTGTGAAGTAAAATAAGCTTCTAAATGCTTAATGGAGGCCTATAAAATCTCTAACAAAATAATAACAAATCTGAGAAAGAAGCTGACAGAGTACACCACTGTGATTTCTTGTGGTAACGATGCTTTCTGAATAAAAATATACTGAATTTATCCAAAAATAAAACATAATAGGATAATGTGATATTCTTCAGGTTCCTTCCCTTTCATCATCATCAGTTGATTTGTTTGTGTTTCAGTGGGGATCCGCAGTGTGGTACAACACATTGGGCTTGTTTACCGGCTCTTCAGCGATGTAGCAGTAAAAGTGATGTATGTCATACTGGAAGAAAAAAAGAAAATGAGTGTGTTTTCTATGAACATACATTCATCTAGTTTCTGTACTCACTGAATTCAATCGAGGGCCTAACAAGGGCTGGAGCCTATCCCAGCTGTCACTGTACATAAATGGCTAAAAAAGATGTTGTCAGACTTACACAGTCAGTTTGAGGCTCTTGCCCGGTTTGCTCAGCCAATCCTGCAATTTAGGAAGAAAATCACACAAACTTGATTACATTCACAAATACCTTTTTTATTCTAATCTACATAAACTTTCAAAAGAATAATAGAAAAGATGAAAAAAGAAGAAAGAAAAATAAGCTGTTTTTTGTTATGTCGCCTATGGCACGGGTTATGTTCAAGCAGATCCACTGACAGAAAAAGAGACTCCAGCTCACCTGGAGGGTGGTCGGCAGCGGGGTCACACTCGGTCGTGATGATTGCTTGACCACTGCCTGAAGTTGACTTATTTGATGAATGGACATAAGGCAAAAGATAAGCAACCGTAACACAACTTGGGAAAGGTAAACAATTCACGTGTGCTCTTCGTATGCAATTAATTGTAAATTCTGGATGACCTTTAAATTTTCATTAATATATTCAAAACAAAAGTAGATCAAACTAAACTTTTTGAAGCACAAAGTCCGCCAACACGGTGGTGGAGACTCTGTGGAGGGGGTCAATTTATGAGATTAACATTTGAAAAAAATTGACTTTTCTTAATTACCATTTTGCCATGATGCAAAGTGTCCATTTCGCAGTCTATGAAAAAAAAATTGAAGAGAAATGTGTTAGCACAGTTTATACTGAATAGCTGGGGAGCACCGAGCTGTTGCTCACGTACCTGACAAATGAGCTTGTGTTCTACAGACACAACGAAAAACATGTTCAGAAGTCTGGGCAAATTTTTTAATGACATTGCATAAAATACTTAAATTGATTACGTACCTATTGAAAACAGATGTATCTGGAAATTAGAAAGACAACGAATGAATGAATGAATGAATGAATGAATGAATGAATGAATGAATGAATGAATGAATGAATGAATGAATGAATGAATGATCGTTTGAATGATTAGGCATACCTGAGCCATGTCACAGAGCTTTTTGTATATGTATAATCACTATCAATTTTATTTGCATCACTTATTGAATCCCTCAGCATTCTTTGTAATAATTTTAGTTTATTGGAATTACGACTATCTGAATTTTAATTTTTATCCATCAGACTTTAGACGCTGAACTGGATGTCTGGGTAATCTTTTAGTGAGAAGAAAGTCAGAGTTATTTACTTGAGCTAAGATGTTCACACGTCCCTAAAACCAAAACCGCGTTCTGGTTTTATTTTAGATGCTGGTCTTTTGTGAGCTCGTGGCTTCTAAAAAACTCTGTGGCTCTGACTTGCGTAGATTAAACTTAAAAAATGAAACTTGATTCATATATTAGTGAAACTTTTATAAATGTTATAATCAAACTGGACAAAACTGGTTTAATGGACAATGTCATATGTTCTATTTTTTATTGGCATTTCACTTCAGGCTTTGTGATTAAAACAAATGACTTCTCACCAGCTCTTTTTTGAGTCTTCACCAATGCAAATACAACCATGATGAGCCCCACAGCCACTCCACAACCAGTCACAATGACAAGAGATTTCCATGGGTTTCTACCTGTTTAGGGAAGAGATGACGATGTTCTAAAGGATAAGGTTTATCAACAGTAGTGTATGTGTGCCTGAATACAACTATCTACTTCTTTACAAGTTATAAAGATGACATGAGGATAATTAGTTTAATGTTCAAGTTCAGAATTTACATATTGTGTATAAATGGCAGAAAAAGATCACTCACTTAAAAAAATTTCTGGAAAGTTCGCAGGAGGTGACGTGTTTTTAGTAACAGGCTGACCGACAGCTGGACCTACAGGGAACACGGTATTATGAGAAAGGCTCGTAGTTGGATTCAGTATCATGTTTATTATGTTTATAGCATACCAAAACGATCTATTACAACCGCTGCTTGACCAAAAACTGTTAAGTGCAGAAGGTAAACCAGGAAAACTCAGATGTGATCCTTGAATGTCACTGAAAGCATCAGCTAAGGTTGGCGCTGGTGTGTGATATAGCATCCATGGGACGAACTGGACTGATGAATACCTGGTGATTGGCACCCTTCTATCCTCTAAAAGCATTCATTAAAACATCATTACAACCAAGATTCTTAAAATGTTTGAATACTTCAGATTGTAAATTAATTAGAAACGTTATCAACATTTCATTGCCCAATCAAGGAATTTGCAGATTTCTAAAACATGCATGTCATTTCTCTGCACACATTGAAGAGAAAAAAGAGTTCTATTGTTTTTGTTGTGAATTTTAATCACTTAAAACTAAAAGTGCTTCTGGGGATAGAATACTGAGATTGAAATAAATCTCCTGATCATAAAATACGCTAGCCAAATCAGAAACAGTCACTCACCTTGTATTTTGATGGAGGAGAAGTCACTGTAGGGAGACTTTACTGCTCCAGACTGTGCCGTATAATAACAGCTCACTTTAACCTCAGCAGGTGAGGAGAGACCTAATATCTGCAGAAGTTTGGCTCCTTTCAGTGTCTGATGACAGGAGAGTTCTCTGATGGTTCCTCCATCAGAACTGTTGAAATAGCACTGAGACACAGAAACAGACGATGGAGCCTCACAGCTCAGAGTAACCATTTCTGTCTCTGTGATCACTGCTGGATTCACTGTGAGTTTAGCTGGAGAAGGACCTGAAAAGAGGACATTCAAAAATGTATATGAAATGTGTGTAATTCCCATATCTTTAATTGAAAATGCAGACTGTTATCGGCTTTCTGTTTGTACTGATTGTATCAAAGTGTTGGTGTTCCTGGTTTGAAATCAAAACACATACAAATGCAATTTAAATAGCAGAAACCATCACTCACCTTGTATTTTGATGGAGGAGAAGTCACTGTAAGGAGACTTTACTGCTCCAGACTGTGCAATATAATAACAGTTCACATTAACCTCACCAGGTGAGGAGAGATCATATATCTGCAGAAGTTCAGCTCCTGACAGTGTCTGATGACATGGAAGGGGTTTCTCAGTGCCACTGTTCTTATTGTAGAAATAACACTGAGACACAGAAACATACGATGGAGCCTCACAGCTCAGAGTGATCATGTCTGTCTCTGTGATCACTGCTGGATTCACTGTGAGTTTAGCTGGACAAATCAAGACAATAACATTTGAAAAATGCATATAAAGTGGTCAGTAAACAAGTGTAAAGCTAAAAAACTGACCTTGTGCTCTGACATCATGAAAAGAATCTGTTGGATAAAGAATTGGTAACAAGCTCAATAAATGTAAGAAATATTCTGAATCTTTCAAAACAATGCTGAAGGATTACAACTGATTTTGTGTCAGTCAAGTGTCACTTTCTGATAAAACTGTAGTTTTAAATTCATCGTCAGGTTGAAAAAAAATAAAGTTTTTGTCTTTATACGTTTTCCATAGAACACGCATCTTTTTGTGTAAGAGTATAAACAACTGTTAATAATGGTAAATACACTCTGAATTTTAACTCACAGATAAGGACGACAATCAATAGATGGCTTTGTCCGCAGTTCATTTTGCAGCTGAATGTTGTAACTGTTCAGAAATCCTCCAAAGACTGGGCCGGTGTATCGTTGATACTTTAGTCATTTGACAACAGGAAACCACAGCAAGCATATGAGAGCCAAAACAGCCCAGGGAACAGAAACAGCGCTAACCATTTCTTTGAGCCTCTGATGCATGATAGACTTAAATTAGTTGTAATGTAAATTTAGAAGTATAGAGAGACAAACAGATGATGGGGCCTCACAGCTGAGAGAAACTGCGTCTGTCTCTACAAACGTACAGTTTTGGGGGAGCAAAAAAGCTACTTGTATATTTTGGGGGTAATATACACATCTTACATCGCATAATCCCTTGATTTTCATAAATGGAAGTGCATCTGTTTAGTGGTGCACGCATCATGAACGGTTTTCAGGTTGACAAATGCCAGAACCCTTCTAAGAAATCCTCCAGTGACTAAAGCCACAGTGTCTGACTGTGAAGTCCATTTGAGTTTCTGACACATTAAAGGCTTCACATGTTTTCTGAGTCCTAATTGTGTATTTACTTATTCTTTTATTTAAACTTTCACTTTTCTTACCCCAGATGTATTCATTAGTTCCTTGTTGAAACATATGTCAGTTTAATTTCAGCCTTTTCTTAACAAACACATAAAGTAGCTGGACTGTCTGTACCATCACCATGAAATTCAGTAAATACAGAGTAACAGTCAGGAAACACACTTCTCTGCATGTTGAATGGCTCCATGTGTTCAAACCTTTGACTGGTACTATAAGTCATTTCATCTTTGCTATGCAGAATTTGAAAGTATTTCAGGCAGTGTTGCACACTAGGATGAGAGCAACATCTTGTTAGAAATGCTCTACTGTTTCTTCTGTCTATTGCCACTGTTGTTTTCTTAGTTTTTGGTTTATTTGGCTCAGAGAACACTGGAATAAAATATTTTACACAAAGATAGAGAATATGGATCTTACCAATAGAAAAAGCAAATCGCAACACCAGACGTGAGATCCGGAATCTGAGTTTGGAGCAAAACTTTAAATCATACAGACTAAAGACATGGGTTTAATGAGTCACAACTTGTAGTTAAAATATGTTTAATGTGGAAACAAATCCATAATGAGTGCAGTGGACACCCATGTTTAGCATTTGACTATCAAGAGTAGAAACAGATGCAGATATGATCTCAGAGGATGGTGGATCAGAAAAAGCATTGTGACACAACATTAGGAAGAACATATGAAGTCATCAATAAGGCTTTACTGAAACACTTCTGTCCCTTTGTGATTGGCCTCAGGAATAAACATTGTTGCTTTTTTGCTGATTCACCGTCTGACCTTTGCACACTGACCTGTGACCTTAGACAGCAAGTTCACAAACAACTATTAAATGTGAATTAGTGTAATGTTTCAGAATAGTTTATTGTAATTTCCTAATTTCTTAATCATCTCATCAGTACCTGTCAATAAGATATGTGTGCAATCGCTCAATAAAGAAGTGGCAAAACCCTTAGGGCTCTATTTAAATGTTTTGGTCATCGTTCTTTGCAACTTGACATGCAATACATGATGCATGACGCTGCAGAGAACCTGCAAATACTTTACCAGTTTCAAACGTTTTCAATCATCACTACAGGAAGCTGCTATAATACTGTGGGGTTTCCACGTATAAACTGAGCATAGTAAGTTATTGTTCTGTGTATTTCTTTGTCCAGCACTTCCAATATTTACATGTCATCACAACAGTCCGTTTTTGTGCCCTCCTATTGTGCTGTAGATCGTGACTGGCGGTGCTGGCTCATCATCGATGGTGGAGTACACATGGTATGTGTCAGCCTTTGATAAAAAGAACAACACCAACTCTTTAAATATGGTACCACCACTGTTTATAGGATAGAGCGTGAACACTAACAGCTGTATCCAACTTACATTTTTATTTTCAGACTCCTCTGTTTTCAATTCCTCCAATCCTGCAAGAAATATATAAACTATCATCTATCATTTTTCATACTACAGAGATTTTACAAGCATAAGGTCAGGAATGTATATATTCCATACATCTGTTTATCCAGTCACAGAAACTCACCAATAGAGGCACTGACTGCAGGGGGGGAGGTGGTCATGTCGCTAGCTTCATCATTAACAGCAGGTAGCTTGTTAAGAAAAGTGAAGATGACGTGATCAGAAGAGAGTAGCCGTTAGCTAATTAAAATGATCTAGGTTTATTCATTTTGAGCAACATTCAGCGCTTATTCTAACACAATAAATCACTTTAAAGACTGTGGGGATATTGTGTCAGACAATATTACCCATTCTCGACTGCCAAGATTTCTCATGAACATGATGTCCCCTATGACAGAAGAATAATCAAAGTTCATATGAATTATTCTGATGATAAGTGTATTAATTAAATACTGCAGTGTTTCCTGATCTGATGAAGCCTACATTACCTGCAGAACTGGCTTGTGATCTGTGTGCAAATAGAATGAACAAAATTTGTTTTACATGAACAGAGTGCACCAAATAACTTATGTTTCACGTTTATCCTTCAATTTTCAGAAGTGCTGAGTAGTCAAGCGAATGAACAGACATTAAGCAAAGTACTACTCTGAAAAAGGCAGGATAACTGAGGAGAATAGGATGATATTCATATCCATGACCCATCTATGTGTGTTCAGGTCAAGTTAACATGAATATTTTCGGAAAGTGGTACAAGGACGGCACATATACAGAGACGGAGTGAAAAATAAATGGAGAAAATATTAAAAACACATTTCTTACCTTCTGTAAATAGACTCTTCTGAAAAAATGCAGAGACAAAAATGAGTAAAAATACCTTCCCTTCTAGGCCTTTTCCTGGACCATTGTAACTCTTTGTGCTGCTGAAGAGTTGCTATACTTCTAACTTTCTGTGCAGAATGGGTTTCATTTGTTGGATTTTGTGTTTTTGCTGTGCTTCAGCTTATTGGTAGATGATGGATTGACACTGTTGGATTCATAAAGAGTAAATTCTTAATCATAGCTTGGTTTAAAAATCCTGAACTGAAAGAGCAGTTGTGCTTTCTTTTTCACAGCACTACATGTTTCCAACTGTGTTTTCCCACCAACGCATTTGTTTTGATTTGCTCCTACAGATAATCCAAGACAGAAAATTCCCCTCAGGCAGAAAAGGTTTCGACCATGCTGATGTCTGGCATATGAAGCAGTTTTCTTTCCCCAATTTAATTAAACTAATTTGCGTTTAAACCATCCTATCATTAGCATTTCTTTGAAAGTCATAGCGAGTAGTTCGGTGGTTGAACATTGTTATTCAGTTAAGTCCTGAATACACAGAGGTATTTTCAGGCTTTAGAACACACGCATATCATGAGAATGCTTACCACTTCTTCTTTTACCAAAACAGAGATGTGCCACTCCAAGTAAAAAGACACCTACAACTACTCCAAAAGCAGGTAATACAACCAGTGCATATCTCCAATAGCCAAAAAGACTGTGAGTCCACTGTCTGACTTCCTGAATCTCACTTCCTGCACAGAAAGACCAACAGAAAGCAGAAATTACAGCCACAAGAAATTGTCACAAAACACAAAACGGAACGAAGCATGAACCAACATGAATTGAAACATTGGAAAGCATTTCGATTATAGGCAGGTAAAGATTTTTTTTTTAATGGTGTACTATCAGTCCTCAAATTAGTGTAAAAGTTTTTCTTTCTTACTTGTAGTTGGAGGCAGTGAAGTCAGATGAAGGGTCGATTTTATTTCTGTGGACGCTTTATCCGTCAATCCAAAAACTACGACTCAGAGGAAAATAAAACATCAATAATAACATATTTCAATGTATAAAATGTGACTTGTTCTAAAATGCTGTATGTTTCTATACATATTGGGCTAAAAGTTACATCTTTAATTTCACTATCTTAAGTCTTTATTTTTTGTTTATCAGAAAATTCTTCAAATGGGCCTACATCTACATAAAATGCTGCTTTACATAGTTTAAGATCCATTCGATGTATAAGGATTCACTGAGTCCAGTGAAAAATTAAGTCCAAGTGTTCTGAAAATTTCCTTTATTCTGAATTATATTTTTTCATTTGATTATTCAAATCCAAAACTGACCTGTAGTCCAACTGACATCTGGTGTATGAACTGTTGTGGAATACTCTGTTTCAACAATGTCTGCAAGAAAATAAGATAGTTTCAGTTGGTTATTTTGGATTACAAAAGTAGTTGTCAAATATATCAAATTAACATATGAAATCCAAAACTGACCTGTGGTCCAACTGACCTCTTCCACTGTAGATGTTGTGGTGGACTTTGTACTCACAACATCTCCAGGAAAAGAAGATACATTTGAATCAGTTAGTTGTTTTTGACAAAGAAATGGTTGAATAACAAAAATAGAATTAAATCTATGTAATAACAATTGAATATATTAAAAGTTAAGCCGAATATTAAGCAGAAAAAAAAGAAAACTGACGTAAGAAAAAGCAAACAAAAGTCAAAGATTATGAAGACTGCTTTGTTCTCAGCAGTTCAGAGACATTCATTCTAGTTCTAGACAATAACTGATGGGACCACCTTCTTTCTTGTTTTTAAATTAATTAATTGTTAAATGTTTTTTTTTTGTATGATTTTTTAATCAAACAGACCTGGGGTCCAACTGACTTCTACCATCATGGGTGTTGTGGTGGACTCTGTACTCAGAACATCTGCAGGAAAAGGATCAGTTAGCGGCTGTTGTCAAAGAAATGGGTAAATTATCAGTGCTACATAAATAGAAATCAAATCTATGGAATAACAAGGTGTGAGTAGTCCCAATGTTAACACGGTCACTTCCTCTGAAGCCTGTGAAACCTCTAACATATTCACATATTTTGTGAAGGTACAGCTTAGAGTGGTAGTTTGGTCACTTACTTTGTACGATGACTGAACAGATGTTACTGTTTGGAGAAAAGTATTTTCCTCCTCTTTGCGCTACAGCGTAATAACATTTTAATTCGACCTCAGCAGGTGAACTCTGATGTGCCATCACCAGAAGCTCAGTTCCTGTCAGGGTCTGCACACAGGAGATGGTTCTTGAAATTTTGGTCCCCATGAAGTACAAAAAACACTCAGAAACAGATGATGGAGCCACACAGTTTAATGTGACTGAGTCTGTCGCTGAGATCAGCCGCGGATTCACTGTCAGCTCAGGAGAAGGAACTGAAAATGGAAAAAACATTATAGATTATCTGACTGAATGTTGCATTCATGTTGAAAATTATCTGCTGATGATGCTGATTTCATACATGGGTCATCGCTATGTCTGCATTATTCTGCAGTGACTGTATTTACTCACGTTGTATGTCGATGGTAACGATGTTACTCTCTGGAGATGGATTGGAATTTAGATAAAAACAGGTGACATCAACTTTGGCTGGTGAGCTTTGATGTGTTAAAGACAGCAACTCGGCTCCTGTCAGTGTCTTCAGACAAGAGAATCTTTTGGAGGGATTTTCTTTCAAAAAGCCGTAAAAACACTCAGGAACAGATGATGGAGTCACACAGTTCAGAGTGACTGAGTCTGTCTCTGTGATCACAGATGCATTCACTCTCAGTAGAGCTTGAGGAAGGTCTAAAAACATGAACACACAAAGAATAAATCATGTCTTTGAAGCATCCTCTGCTCTTTAAAAACTCAAATAACATATTGCATATCTGCAAATGACAGAATTTCACATTCGCTACAGTTACTTACTGTTAATAATTATGGTGGATTCACCACTGCTTGGAGATAAATGGTAAATACCTCCATCCTTTACAGTATAAGAACATCTCACTTTAACCTCAGTAGGTGACATTCTGTTTGTGACCTTCAGCAACTCTGCTCCTGTGATTGTCTGCATGCACGAGTAGCTGTCAGATTTTTTTTTATTTTCAATGTAGAAATCACACTGAGTCACAGAAAAAGGTGATGGAGTCACACAGTTTAATGTAACCGAGTCTGTCTCTGTGATCACAGGTCGATCCACCCTCACTGTAGGCAGAAGAAGATCTAAAAGTTCAGAGCCGGAGATGGAACATTCATTATGAATCAGATTATTCTGTGAAATAACATTCGTGATAGGTCATTATCTATAGTTGTAAACAAGAGGAAAACTATACTCGTCTTAAACAATTCATACTCGGACTACTGACCTTGTGCTTCGATCTCATTAAAAGAATCTGTTAGAGACAGTTTTGGAATAGGTCAGAAAATGGAAATAGATTTAAAAAAAAAAGCTGAAGAAAAAAATACTTTCATGTGAGCATGCAACGAGGTCAATAAGCCATTAAAACTTACACATGAGGGTGATGAGCAGCAGGAACTCAGCCATGATGAAGCTGAAAAATGTGAATGTCCTGAACACAACACACCAGCCTGTGAGACTGCTTTGACTTTTCAAACATGTTAAGTGTGAGAACCTTTTTTCAAGATCACTTCCTAATGAGAATATGAGGTATAACGCACTCCTGTCAGTCAGGGCTGGCGTAAGCGTAGCGGTAAGCGTATTGACCCATTTCCGGTTCCGGTGTTAGCGGTGTTTGTGTGGTGGTAGCGCTTTTTCTCTGCTCTCGATAACTACCATATAACGTATTTATATTTCAGTAAGTTTGCCGAAGCACCAATAGTTCTTTCCATCTTGGGTGACTGCTGTTCTGTCTTATAGCAGATGTAACAAAAGTTCTGGTGGCAAACCCTACCGTACTTTTGTTTAGCCGTTAGTGACTTTAACAGCTAGCGATGGCTTCTCCCTCTCGCTCTCCTGCTCTCTCTTGCTCGGTGTGTCCGGCCTCTCCTGAGCAGCCAGGAAAAGGTAGCTGGGTGGCTGTCCGAGGGAGGAATAGCCGTAAAAAGTCTAAGCCCCTAGTGCCCCCTCAATCTGTTGGCGTTGCTAACAGATTTTCCCCACTCAGCGAGCCACCCGCTGAGAAACCAACCCTAGTCATAGGCAGCTCGATTCTGAGGAATGTGAAGCTGAACACCCCAGGGAGTGTATTCCTGGCGCCAGAGCGGGCAACATTGAGTCTTATTTTAAACTTCTGGCTAAGGGTAGACGTAGATACAGTAAGATTGTTATCCACGTAGGCATTAATGACTCCCGGTTACGTCAGTCAGAAGTCACTAAGTTAAATGTGGAGTCAGTTTGTAGATATGCTAAAACAATGTCGGACACCGTAGTTTTCTCTGGCCCCTTGCCCAACCTGGTTAGTGATGACATGTATAGTCGCATGTCATCTTTCCGTCGATGGCTGGCGAGGTGGTGCCCAGCCAATGATGTGGTCTTAGTGGATCACTGGCAGTCTTTCTGGGGAAGACCTGGCCTGATTAGGAGAGACGGCATCCATCCCACGGGGGAGGGAGCCGCTCTCATTTCTAGAAACCTAGCCAACTTTGTTAGCAGACTAGATCGGTGACAGTCCAGGGTTGAGAGGAGGAAGCGGAGTTGTAATGTACCGCTCCATCTCTGAATGTTGTGTGCCACCTTGTCTCAAGACCTCCATCATCGTCCCTGTTGCAGAGAGGGAGAGGACATCGTGCCTGAATGACTACAGACCTGTCGCCCTGGTATCTGTGGTCGTGAAGAGCTTCAAGAAGCTCATCCTGTCCTACCTCAAACCTATCACTGACCCCCTCTGGGACCCTTTACAGTTTGCCTACACAGGAAATCACTCCGTTGACGACAACATCAACCTCAGACTCCACCACATATTGATGCACTTGGACCAGCTGAGCTCCTACATCAGGGCCCTGTTTGTGGATTATAGCTCGGCCTTCAACACCACCCTCCCAGACGGCCTGCACTCCAAACTGCTACAGCTACACATTCCCAGCCCCATCTGTGAGTGGATCACTGACCTTCTCACCAACAGGAAGCAACAAGTGTGAGTTGGCAGCTTCCTGTTGGTCCCCCTCACCACCAACACCAGAGCCGCACAAGGTTGTGTCCTCTCCCCCAAACTGTTCTCCCTGTACACCAATGAATGCCTCTCCAGCCACTCCTCCATCAAACTGGTCAAGTTTGCGGATGACACCAAGGTCCTGGGCCTCATCAGGGACGACGATGACATGGCGAACAGGGACACGCTGTCACAGCTGAAAGCATGGTGTGCATGCAACAAACAGGAGCTCAAAATCAAGGTCGAAAGGTTCAGGTCCATCAGGACTAAAACCACCAGGCTCCTGAACAGTTTTTCCCCCAGGCCACCACCCTTTTAAATAAGGACATCTCAGCCCTCCAGCCACTTCTACAGACACTTAAAAATACAATCACCTAAGAACACCTAACATAACATATGTTATTTTCCTGTGGAGAGGAATGGATGGATGGATGGATGGATGGATGGATGGATGGATGGATGGATG